TTAATATGAGTATAGATTCATAAGATGTGTAGTTTGATGTGTTGTCATAATTTAGATGCATTTCTAGGCGTATGAGTTTGTAATGGTGATATCGTTGTAAGAGTTGAGAAAGTCATCATGAAGTTTACAAACTTTCCCATAATAACAAAATCTATTTTATGTTAGCAGACCCAGAAAATATCATTGATTATATAAGAATGCACTTTCATTATCAATTATATTTGGCTGAATGTTAAATATATAAAAGCAGAAAAAATTTGGAAAATGCATTCAGTTTCTAAAGAACTCTCAAAAATTAACAAGTAAAAAAGCAGTAAGTTCGGCCGGGCCGAACTTTGAATACCCTCCACCATTTGAAAAAATTCCAGTAAATAATTACGCTAAAATCACCAAAATACCGAATATCGGGAGGTACCGTTATATGGGGGCTATACGAACACGTGGACCTGTACAGACATTTTTCTGTCTTAGGCTGTAGTATCTATTGCAAACTTCAAATACCAAATTTTAAACAATTCTGGTTAATAATGTCGCTAAAATAATCAAAATACCGAATATCGGGAGGTACCGTTAAATAGGGGGCTATATGAAGACGTGGACCTGCACATACAATTTTCTGTCTTAGGCTGAAGTATCAGTTTCGAACTTCAAATACCAAATTTGAAACAATTCCGGTGAATAATGTCGCTAAAGTCATCAAAATACCGAATATCGGGATGTACCGTTATATGGGGGCTATACGAAGACATGGACTTGCACAGACAATTTTCTGTCTTAGGCTGTAGTATCCATTTCGAACTTCAAATACCAAATTTGAAATAATTCCGGTGAATAATGTCGATAAAATCATCAAAATACCGAATATCCGGAGGTACCGTTATATGGGGGCTATATGAAAACGTGGATCTACATGGCCCATTTACGAACTTAACCTGCCTACTGAAAAAATAAACATGTGTGCAAAATTTTAGCCTTCTACCTCAATTCGTTCGAAAGTTAGCGTGATTACAACAGACAGACAGACAGACGGACAGACAGACGGACAGACAGACAGACAGACGGACATCGCTAAATCGACTTAGAATTTTACGCTGATCAAGAATATATATACTTTGTTGGGTCTGACATGAGTATTTCGAGGAGTTACAAACGGAATGACAAAGTTAATATACCCTCCATAGTATGGTGGAGGGTATAAAAAACAAAAATGGAAGGACAAAATTTAAAGTATGAAGGAGTGCATCCCATTCTCATGGAAGATGTGAAGGACGAAGCCGCGTTTTACGAGCACGTTTCCTACATTCTACAGGACGATATTGCAGCAAGAAGGGAGGAAAATGATGACGTAGAGCTGAATTCTGATGACTGTTCAAGCGAAGAGACCGAATCGACGATTTTATCGGACACCGAGGATAAAGTGGAGGCGATACGAAATAATCTCCCTGAAAATCCTGTAATAACTTCTGTAGAATATTTAGGAGATGATTTCGTATCGCCTCCACTTCATCCTCGGTGTCCGATAAAATCGTCGATTCGGTCTCTTCGCTTGAACAGTCATCAGAATTTAGCTCTACGTCATCATTTTCCTCCCTTCTTGCTGCAATATCGTCCTGTAGAATGTAGGAAACGTGCTCGCAAAACGCGGCTTCGTCCTTCACATCTTCCATGAGAATGGGATGCACTCCTTCATACTTTAAATTTTGTCCTTCCATTTTTGTTTTTTAATTTTTGAGAGTTCTTTAGAAACTGAATGCATTTTCCAAATTTTTTCTGCTTTTATATATTTAACATTCAGCCAAATATAATTGATAATGAAAGTGCATTCTTATATAATCAATGATATTTTCTGGGTCTGCTAACATAAAATAGATTATGTTATTATGGGAAAGTTTGTAAACTTCATGATGACTTTCTCAACTCTTACAACGATATCACCATTACAAACTCATACGCCTAGAAATGCATCTAAATTATGACAACACATCAAACTACACATCTTATGAATCTATACTCATATTAAAACATTACATAACCAAAAGAATCAATACCCGCACACAGACATACACACATTATTTATTAAACATATAGGGCGTCAAATAGTCTATAGAACTAAATACATTTTTTCTTTCCTAGTTTTCGTTATCTTGAAAGAAAAAACTGATGACTAATTAAAACAAGTTTGTCTTAAATTCTATGCCCACTTTTTAATCTGAAAAATAATTATTCATACAAATTCAAAGCATGCCTTCAACTTCTAGACTGACAAAACATGTCAATATTCAATAATGCATCTGAAATATGACCAAAACGAAAAACAAAATAAAAACAATGTTTCTGTTACAATTTACTTCTATCACCAATTTCGTCACAGCATGTAAGTGGTCGGACTTACATCTCGACAGATCGACACACAATTCTAACATAATTTGTACTGATAAGAGCATCATTGTCTAATAGGGAGACCATTACAGACCAAAACAAAAAGTTTTTTTTTCTTCACACTTACCAACAAATGACGGCGCGTGTAAGCAATAAAGTCTGGATGGACACACAAACATATGCTTAGACATACAGAAGCTGGTCAATAAACTGGACCAACTCAGCTTTAAAATAGGCCAATCTCGACTAAAAACTAGCCTAATCTCAACTCTAACAAGGCCAACCCTCACATTCTCCAACAAATGCCGGCACGTGGAGCCAATAAAATCTAGATGGACACACAAACATATGCTTAGACATACAGAAGCTGGTCAATAAACTGGGACAACCCAGGCTTTATCAAGGACAAACCTCTAAAAGGTCAGAAAGGTGGCAAAGGTAAGTTATTTAATCGATTCTGTGTCATCACAAATACCCTACTAATGTTACTCATTTTTTTTAAATAAAATATTCTTACTATGCTAAAATAATTTTTAACAAATTTTGCTTGTTTTCGTCATCATTAATTGATTTCATCTAATCCCACAATTAGGACAATTTTTTGGAGAACTTCGAAAACAATTTTAAATATTCAACCAAAATACCCCACTGTCCTAAATGCCACATTTATCCGCAATAATATTAAGATATATACGTACACATAAACATGTATTTATATACATATACATATTATTTATTTTAGAGACATTCTTATTATTATTATTTTCCCATTATGAAATTAAACAAAAAAAAAACACCAGATTTTTGGCAGCATTTCGGACAAAGAACAACAAAAACCCCGCAACAAATCGTCAATAAAAAGAAACCACAGCAACGACGCCAAAACAAATGACGTAAATTAGCGACAAAGATCAAATCGTTAAGCGAAATGAATTTTTCATTCAGAAAATATGTGAAACGGAAAACCGAACTAAAAAGAAATTCTTTGATTTTTTTTCATTTCCAATTGTATTGCCACCAACCATCCCGCCGAATAAAGGAGCAGTAAATAACTTGAACTCAATCATATAATGCATTTTAAATGTTACGCATACGCCGAGTATTCCACAAACCTAATTGTGAAGAGAGAGAGAGAGAGAGTGAGAGAGAGAGAGTGAGAGAGAGTAGACGCAATTTGGAGTGTTTGACAACCCAATAATTTGTAACAAAATGTTATTTGATGTAGTTTAATCGTTAACATTATGGTCCTTTGAATGAAGACAACATTTTTCTGGTACAAGTTTTATCAGCTGAATCCAAATAATATCAAGCCGAAATTTAAATATTTCCAATTGAGGTTTTTAGTTTTTAATCATTTACCTTCTTAGCTATAAGCTCAAATTTCTTTCAAGAAATCTTTCAGAGTCGAAGTGTGTATACGGTATACGTAAAGAGTACCATGGAGAAGAAAAACGTACACCAAACTACATGAAAAGCAATTGTGTCAAGGCCTACATAAGGTCGGACAAGAGGACTACTTTTGACCACAATGTGACTTTTTTTGTGATTTGACGTTAACTTCGTTGTCAGAAGGGCTTTCTGGCCGACCTTATATAGGACATACAGCTCTCTTACATATATCTTTGTTTACTCATGTTTGTATTTAATAATTAAAAAAATCATTTCTTTTGTAACAAAATATGTGCTTTTATCGGGTCTGTTTTGGTTACAGAGCAATTTTTATTAACAGGTATAACTTCTTTTTGAATTTAGATTCCAAACATTTTGGACGGTTGTAAGATTTTGTTGCTATTCTCAGACGCAGCAACTCCAGATTTTGACGATTGCACAAGCAAGCTACTCATTATTTGCTGCTACACATATGGGACAAAGATTAAAATTGTATTAGACTTGTATTAGACAAATTAAGAACACCCTCTGGTATATATCAAGAGTGAAGTCTTTAATTCAATTGGGTATATGGGGATACACAGTCCCATCAGCGGACTAAAAACAATTTACTCAATTAACTCGGCTGACGTATTGTTTTGGAAGAATTATCAGCAGTTTTGGCTTTTTCATAGTTCTGCATAGTTCTTCTTTCCACAGAGCAAGTTTCACACTTTCCCCAATCTCCCGCCATCATCTACCCACACATCCATTTAAAATTTACACTACGCCAGAAAGCACTTCCTTCCTCTCTTCTGCGCTGCGATCTTTTCTTTTTAACGGAAATGTTCAATCTCAGCACTTCCGAAGAGAGAATTGTTCGAAACAAAAGTCAAATCATGCCGTTGGTATGCGCCCTGCTGCCGTGTTGTTTTGTTTTCTCTGCTGAAATGTGGAATTGTTGTTGCTGTGTGTGTGTGTGTTCACCATCATCTCAGCTGCATATTGGCCAAAATAAGAGAAAGAAAGAAGAAAGTGGTTGGAGCAATTGAGAAAGAAGAGAAAAAACAACAGCTGTTGGGAATTTGTGATGTCTTCGGCTGTGCAGAGAGAGGGGGCCGTTGTCATTTTGGTTCATAGTTTTTGTTAGCCAAACAGCCAGTATGGATTGATCTTTTTTCGACTTTTTCTTCTTCGTCTCATTTTTTTGGGGGGTATAAATGAAAATCTGTTTTCAATGTTAGGCTCACTCTTGTCCCGTTTACTCAACAGAAAATAAGTGCTTTTCCTACATCGTAGGTTTTTCCCCGATCGAGAACAGGGCGTTTGCAAAGAAAATTCGGTGACAATAAAGAGACACAGAGAAACACGTGAATCAGGAAAAACCACAACAGCTACAGCTGAAAATAAAAATAAAGAATTTCTGCTTGTGAAAATTTTCAATGAATGAATGAATCTGTTCCGAAAATATTTGGTCTTCTTCCCGGTATAAAAATCAAAAAACACAGGCACACACAACCGTACCCCACACACACAGAGACCAAGGGGATATCGTACATGTGAATAATATATACATACGTAACATATGTCTGTAGCTATATCTGTGTGAGCTATACTCGATATGCAAGCAATTCTGGCAAAGTATGAAAATCTGAAAACTTATTAATAAAAGCCATCCACAACATTTGAAAAGACATCATTTGCGGAACGGTCGTCAAAGTGAAAAGATATTAATCTCTTAAAGAAAACCAAAAAAGAAAGGAAAAGAAAAATAACAAAAATACCTAAAAAAGAACAAAAAGTAGAAGCAAACATTCAAATAACATAAAGACAATAAATCTATTTTTCGTGAGACAATAAAACGCTCCTAAAAGAAACTGAAAACGAAATAGGTACCTACCTACCTACCAATCACATTTAGGAAAGTGCTGTGTTACCAACAAAGAAAGCATCCAACCTGCGCACAGCCAGAGCTCCCATTGACTGTCGACGACATCGGTTTAAGTGATATAATTTTTCGGTGCTTTTCTAAGTCGCGCGCACAGCGCCAGCCAACCGCACCAAAATAGAAATAGAAACCGAGCGACCGACCGGCCAACCTACCGACAGCAGCGGGCATCATTGTGATTGTTGCTGGCAGAGTACAATTATAACGGTTTTAATTTCTTTGCCCATTAACGACGACTCTATTCGACAGTCGCCAGCGAGTGTCTGCAGCAAGTTACATTTAACCGTGAGCGATTTAACGCACAAGCGCCCCTTACTTGTGTCGCATAGTGAAGAGCTGTTCCGAAGAGTCTAGTGTGCGTGTCGTATCTGACAGCTTGTCGTCATTCTTGAGACTAAGTTGCATTTATTACAAAAAAAAAAAAAAAAAAACGAAAAAACAAATAAAAACACTAGCAACAAAAACATTGTAAAGACACACAAACCAACTATTACACAAAGATTTCCGAAGTAGTCTTTTGTCAATTTCTGGTGGTGATTTTCTAAAGCAGAGATCTTAACAATGGCGGACTTATCACACGAATTGGGTGCATTGCGTTTTGTTATGGTAAGTTTATGCCAACTTTGCATTGATTCGCCTTTTCATTTGAAAAATTTTGGGTAAAATATTCTCGAATAGAAATGTTTAACCACTGGTAATTAAATAGAAATGTGTGGCATAGATGTCAATCATTGTCAGAATTTATTTTACAAAATAATTAAACAACAAAATCAATATTGATTAATCTATATTTATGATGGGCAGATGACTCCGAATCAATGCCATACAACAAATAAATACCGCATTGTGTTTGTCGACCTTTACCTTTTTTAAATATTAATTAACGGCTAAGGTCGATATGAATTTTCATTTGGGCGCCCACTGATGCATCATAGGGTGGATTTTCTACCTTATGTCGATTATCGAGAATAAAAATCTGATATTGAAGGTACATGGTTTTAGTTCGAAAATTTTGTAGCACATCGAAATAATGGTCGTGACCCACTCTTTATGCATATCAAAATTAATTAAGACCCTGTGATTACGCTACATCTTTCAGTTGTGATCGAAATGTCATGAAATTTTAATAGAAGGTGGGATTCTCACATTTGTCAATTCTTTGATAAATTAGCATATCATATTATATATCATATTATAAAAATAGGTACAAATTGAGTTCTTACGTGAGATCTTAAACTTATTGACAACAAAGCTATTACGAAAATTGTGTATTTTTCCAATGTTCTTTGGATTGACAGGGAGAACTCAAGGAATAGTCCCTCTCCAAATGAGTTGTTCAATAGTTTTTTTTTTTTTTTTAATTTAAGAAAAAATTGGAGTGGGGTTTTTCTTTCGTATAGTGATATAGGAGCATACCCAATATATTTTTTGAAAATAACTTTAAGAAAACTACTCGAGATAGGCTAAAAGAAGGAAGTTTTCTAAACACCTACTATTTTTTAAGTAATTGCCAGTTAGTCCGTTGATGTTGCAACTTCAACAAAAATAATGTTATCCTTGGTGGAATATAAGAGAGTAGAGACATAGGTATAACCAAATGAAAGCTCGATTTTGGGTATTTGCGCTTCAAACGAACTTACATGGCACGTCTGACCTCCTAGAAAATACGTTGTCAAAAAAAAAGTTTAAGCCTAAACGTAGCTCATCTTCGCAGTCGCACAAAAATACCTGTCCATTTTTTGTTTTCTAAATATAAACATACAAGATTGCTAACTAAGTGGCCATACTCGATATCGAATAATTCTATTATTTGGTTTCCATATAAGTTTCGTTTGGTGGCTTCTGTCAATTTTCCTATTCAGTTTTTAATGAAGTGAAGTTGGTCAAAAACAATAAATAAATACATGCTTTCTTCTCTTGGTCAAATTGGCAAATGTCATCAACTGGTTTGGTTCTGGACACACTTAACCCATTGGTCTACATTGGACAAGCTTTGCTTAATGGCCAGCTTCTAAGTCATCAACACGTTGTGGTTATTAAAATGAAATAATTCTGGCAAACAGGAATTTCTTTTGTCGTTGTGACACTCTCTCCAAACGCTCTATGCCCATAAACGCTTCCCATTTGCACAAACACAAACATGTTAATGTGTATTGTTGGTGTGGCTTGGAACATTTGGGAAATGTAACCTGTTGGCTGTGATGCAGCCAAGATATTCATTCTTTTTGAAATTAATGTAGGAAAATGGCTTTATTTTTCAACATTTTATGAGCCTAACTTTAAACAGGTCTACTCACCCCCCCCCCCCCTCCCTCCTTCTACCAAGTACACGAAATGCCCCAACAACTTTCGACCTTGATTAATTATGATGTCTGTTATCCACCGTTTCCATCGTGTCAGTCTTGTGCCGATTAATCCAAAGAGAAAGTGACCTGGCTGTGGCTTGGGTAATTAATTAGTGGAAACCCTCCAACAAAGCCAACAACACCTGTTGTTCGAAACAATGGTTGGAAATGGAACTGTTCACAGCCCTTTTAACTGTCATGCAATGGGAATCCCACCTTCATCAGAGATGCAGATGAGAAAATTCATAGACAGACATTGTTTTCTTTTGCCTCTGGGTCGATGAAATCTGGGGAATTTTCTTTGGAAAAGAAATGAATGAATAAATTATGAGAGATTTTGTGCAGTGGGATTGGTTACAGTTAGATTTGAGAATAAAGATAAGTGAGCGAAGAGATGTTTCAAATTGTACATCGCTTGATATTAGGTAAAAACTGGTTAGTGGAGCCGTTGAAAATATGAACATAAACTACGCAGATGAATAACTGCCAACGAAGATACATAGATGCCAAACTGTGCTGTGCACAAACCTAGAGATACATAATTGTAAAGGCACTGATCATGGATTATGATTCAAATATCGGAAGTAAATAATCGGAGCCTTTTTTTATTGTTATTCTGACCTCAAACCAAAAAAAGAACATTTTTACCGGAAGCACTCTTCATTATTTTTATGACAGCTAAGAAAATAACAACAAATCATCAGAGAGACTAAACAGTTTGTCAACAAAAATCTCACTGCAAAACATGTTGTCCAGTTTGGCCAGCCATGTTCTGACGCCATCAATATCCATGGGAGAATCATAAACACTATTCAATGATCCGATTTCATTAAGAAAACACCAATTCCCCTATACTGTATGTGTCTGCAGATATGTATGTATACTGCATATATCATCGGAAAACATTTTTTATCCAAAACAAATTGCGATCCCCCATTTCGTCGAGTATTTATAACTTGTTGTTTTTGTTGCTAGACAATCAAAATATACACTTGGTTGGTAAATAGAAGAAATAATAAAAAAAGAACGCTAAAAGTTGCCGCCGGCAAGATCAACGACGCCATTCCGTTCCGAGCCATATACTCGGATGGACACACAATGTTGTACATTTATAGCCTCGTTGACGGTCAATGCCAAGTGAACAGGAACAGCATTAGAGGCAAACGCCAACGGTGTGTGTTCGCTCACTCACTCGCTCGCAGTTTCATTAAAAAGTGTGCGACACTTTTTGGCCGGCTGTTGTTTTGACATGAAAAGTGGTAGCGATGTGCAGATTGTCCGACGAGTGTTGTGTGCCAAATAAACGGGAACAAATCTCGGTACCACTAGAGGCATTTGTCGATATGAAATCTCTGTTAGAGGTAGCAGTGCCAAGGGACAACCAGCCCTAGTAATATTTTTTGTTTTGTATTAAATCTAGTCTTGTATTAAATTCTACCAAAGCCCAGTTTACACATCACATTAGAGTCGTATTTTTGAAAAATACTCTACTATATAAAATATATAGTAGTATTATATAATACACTTATGCCATAAACATATCCAATTTTGCTGTACTGCACTCTAAATCGCTACTAATGGCTTACAAATCGTAGAGAGAAAGCCCTTGAGTGTGCTAAAATATGCCAAAAATAGAGGTGGAATTCGATTCGATTTACAAGTGACTCTAACATTATGCGTAAACTAGTCCTTATTTCCAATTCGACTGACTAATTGTTTGATCTTAAAGACGAGATTTGGGGCCTAATCAAGAACACTGGTATATCTGAAAGGAAGTTGTTGTAAAAAGATATTTTTTTTTTTTGTTTTTTTTTGAAAATTCATTCCAGATTGGTTATAAAGGGAAAAGAAAGTGTATAAAGTGTGTTAGTTTTCTTTTCTTATCAAGCGAATGGGTGGCTGTCTCAGAAGCATACTTTTGGGCGGTAAACTTACTACCTATTACATGTCATACTTGAGTAGAATGGCCGATACTGGAATATACTTTCAGTTATAATATAAATTGAAAGAGTTTATTCATTCATTAGGATGTGCAATTGACATCTAGATTAGGCTTAAATGAATGGTCGAACATATTTCTTTTGAAAAACCCCACCTAATGTCCCAAGACAACAAAAACAAATACGTTTCTTTCTTTCATGTGGCAAATTGCTTTCAATGTTGAAGACACCCAGCATTTGGCTCTGACTAACGTTAGTTAATATGTGCAAATATTTTCTTGGCATTGTCGTCAACACATGTGCGGCGTCTATGGCGGAAAAATTGAAGACACAGCAACAAAAAATGAAAATATTTTAATTCACTCAACCCCTAACGGCCGCCCACTCAGCCCCCTTTCTCTCGACTCATCTAAAGAATTCAAGTGATTTGCTTGCTCTTTAGCCACTCGGGCAAACAACAATAACAAGGAACTAAGAATGTGTGTGTGTATGTTTGTATGTATGTGCGACGCCAGTACATTAAAAACAATACGTAAACCGTAAACAGCAACAACAACAGCCAAAAAATAAATAGAATATTTCAAAAATTGATATGAAATGGTCAAGTGTTTTCCTTTTTCTGGTTATTATTCAAACAAAGGAAGAACGAAAAACCAAAGAAAAAAAAACAAGAAGAAGAATAAAACAAAACTATTTTATATGATTTGCAGATCTACATACACAGGGATACATATCTATGTGTGCATGTATATACATGCCACGCTCTTGATTTGTAAGGAATTCCCAATGATTTATTGAAAAACATTTGGAAATTCTTGAAATTCCGCAGATTAAAAAAGCTGCAAAATAAAAACACGAGAAAAACTGGGTTGACAGAAAAAGAAATGAATGTATTGGAAATCTTGCTCTTATCTCGGAAAAGCAATGGATCATTTTGAAAGACAATTCTCAATTACCGTGATAAAAATAAACCAACCCGGTTAATTGCAGCAATTTGAAAACGTTGACCCATTCTTTATAAGGACTGTGTTTATAACCTGAAATAAATTGGTAATATATATATATAAAAATCTGAAAGAAATCTTAAGCGCAAATATAAATGTTTGACGGACAAGCTCAGTTGTAAGCGGCCGAAACACATATGGATCGATTCAAATAGTCTTTAAATATGTCGATCTCCTCCTCAGTGGGAAAAATTAACGTCATTGTTTCTATCGTTTGGTCTTTATATTGATCTGTTCCAGAACTGCAAGAATGTAAAAGTTTTTACTACGATAACCGATTTTTCTTTTTATGAAATCGAAAAAAAATGCAAAAATAGCAGATTTTTGTAGGTTCTGGAACAGAGCATTTATTTTCTTCGCTAACTTGCCCACAAAATTCGTTAATTACATTAAATTATATGCCAATGCAAATTTGATGTTATCGATTAATGTCTGTAATACTGTTATTGTCTATCGCACTGCTGATAATAAGCTGGGAATACAACTAGAGATTGACAAATCAGAAATATTTCTAGGTCGGCATGGCCACTTTGTATCGAAAGAAAACCAATCACTTGCAGGCATTTATTTAAATATCTACCGGCGCCAGTACTTGTTTTTGTTTTTGTTTTTTTTTTTTTTCTTTCTTTTTGTCCCGATCATTGTTTTAACATCCAATCACAAATGTTGATATGATATATTGGCTCGTCGCTTCCCAAGTAAATAGCAATGATTGAAATATTTGGACAAAGGCCAAAACGATAACGAAAAAATCAAGCCATTAAACAAATAAGAATGCAAAAATATATTCTCACCTAGAAATGATGCCAGAAGTCAAAGTTTTACAAACCATTCTTAAGTTTGGAGCAAAAATGTAATATCTATGCTACAACATCTCCCATTAAGGCTGTTTTGCGAGTTGAAACAAACAATATCAATGATTTCATCCTCAGCGCGAACATTTAATTCCATTTGATTTGATTTTATCATCTCTTCGCCGTAATCATGTTAAACGCTCTCACATCCACACATAGCTCTGTGCTAACTGTCGCCAAATTTTCTGCATTTTTATTTGTTTTTGTCCGGCCATTCATTCATTCATGATGTCTAAAATAGAACATTTGGCTCTAGAAAGATTCAACTGAATCCCAAGCTCCCAAGTGTTATGGCATTGTAACGGCCAACACGCTTCGTACCATTGTTGCTGGCTGGCTAGTGTCGTGCCAACATCTATAAAGGATATGCACCTACCCATACGTACGATATGCACGGTACGTGTGAACCATTTTGTTTACCATTCACTTCAAGTGAAAAGAATTTGATTTATTTACGTCGTATTTGAGCGAGTGGACCGACACTCTTAGTCAAGCAGAAAAATTTGCCAATTTCATCGTCAGTCGAAAACTAAAGTAGATTCTCTTTTAGTTGGTGCAGGTTTCAAATCGGCAACGGTTTAAAATCAGACAAATATCTCAGATTTTACAAGTAGGTGGCTAAAAGTGTAGCTCTGCATGGGTAAAAATATTTGTGCGTAAAAATGCAAAGCAATGATTTAAAATTCAGTTGAACCAAATTTAAATCTACTTCTCCAAAGCGGTATCTTGTGATAAAGTGGGTTGTTCTCAGTTGTCCCGGATCATGAGCTCGTTAGCATCCCTTTAGAGCTGCTAAATATTGCATTTCATTTTTGGGTTGACATGCCAACCATCACATCAACGTAATCATATTGACAAATGAAACGTAATTACATTTTTAATTAAAATATTTATTTTATGACGCGGCCCCAAAACATCATCTCACGCCGTTTGTGAAGGTTATCTAATTCACGTTATTTTCTAAATGTTGCAGATTATGTATGTACCTACATGCATCTGCACTTTTGAATAGACAATACGCATAATGAATTGTATCCACATGCCTGGATTGTGATGGAATAGAAGCATCGAGTTACGATGAAACACACGGTGCTACCGCAACATAAAAATAGAAATCTGTAATCAGTTACCTACTTAGCAAATATTATTATTATTATTTTCTTTTTTTTTTTTTTTTTTTGAAAAATATTCGTCTTTCTTTTTTTGGGGTTTTCTTTATCAAAATCACATCTGTTAATTTTGCCAAATCTTTCAAATGGAACAATTTGTATTACCCCACTCTGTAGTCATCTCCATAATATTCTTAATTGTTTTCCCTTTTTCTACATTACAGGACTCGCCGCTCTCCTCAAAAGTAGCCATGTTTAATAATCAGGTCAATCAACACAAGCAATCGCAGCTGTTAAACCCCTTCTCTCAGACGGATGGCCGTTCTTCACCAAAGCCCACCTTTTCCAAGGATGAGTACGGCAAGTAAGTTAGAAACATCAGTGCAAAGCCCACCACGCGCGATACTAATCAAAGATAGCATTTTTTACAGACCCCTGGCAGGTAGTTTAACCGAAATGAGAGGACAGAAGGCCAACATCCACGTATTAAAGGAAATGTTGGAGCTTTGTCAAATTATTGATTCGGAGGGCTACAATGTTAAGGATGAACCAAGTATGCGGGTTATACCCTTCGGAGAGCTATTCAATGTAAGTTCAAACAAGGTCACACTTCGAAATGTTTCCAATAATTGTTCTTCCACAGATTTACAACTACATATCCGACAAAGTTGTGGGAATTCTGCTCAGAGCCCGAAAACACAAACTGGTCGAATTCGAGGGTGAAATGCTTTTCCAAAGACGTGACGATGATGTTCCGATTTTCCTGTTGAAACCCATTGCTGAGATACGTCGTGAATTGAATGACAAAATTGAAAGTATTAAACGATCGGGTAGTCCAGCTCCCCAAGCCACATCGGTGTTGTTGGATAAGAAAGCTCATGGCCTAGATGTTCCCAGAGGTGCTACGCCCGTATCACGTACGCCAACTCCCCAGTCTTCGAAGGCTGCATCGCCTGTGCGTGAACCCAAAAAGACAAACAATACGGCTCCTGCTGCTGCGCCATTGGAAGTACCAAAAATCCAACTAAGCGGTGAACCAGAGGCAAAAGAGGTATCCAGTCCAGAACCACATCCGCCACAGAATAATAACAATAACACCGAAACCCAACAACAAACTCAAGTTCCTGTCACTCAAGCGGATGCTCCCACTCAGGCAGAGGTTCCTGCAGCACAGACTGAAACAGCATCACTTCCAGCCCAAGAAACCGAACAGCACCCAACAGAGGAGTCGGCAAACAAAAGTGACGTGAACAATAACCCAGCCGATCTGCCAGTCGTCGAAGTCATTGAAGCTACTGCAATCCATGTCCGATCGACAAACAACGAAAATGCCCCTCCAGCCAGCAACGCTGAAACTGTGACGACGCCGGCGGCTTAAAGTCAGCAACACTAGTGTATTCCCCCCCTCATCTGAATAGCCTATCGAAAAGTACATTAGCTCCTAGGTAAACTAACTTTGCATGTAATGCTCGCACGCAAACCAGGCGAAGAGGCCGCAGAACGGTTGTATACTTCGCGGGTCCGCAGGGTGCAGTATTTAAGACAGGTGTAAATAGCTAATGAGTAGCAACGTAGCTGTATTAATAATAAGTTTGTAACCCCTAACCCTCCATCTGTTCCCTCCGTAGTAGATAATCGCCTCATATCATGTTCCATTAAGCTCAGATATAAAAAATATGTTTAATACATACATTCATCATAGTTATATAACGGATATTTATTTATATACTTCAATAGTGATATCGAAATTAATAAAATGTAAACGTGTAAAGAAACAAGTAAGAAGTGTACTGGTCTTTTCCTTCCCTTTTTCGACAAAGGGAAAAACGTAAAGGTATCGAAAATTACAATGAGACTGGATTCAAAGGTGGAAATCTCTATGGAAGAGTTTTCCAAAGGTGCATTATACCGACTGAAGTAAATTTCCATGAAAAAGGGCAACTGAAAAGGAATGAAACGAGTCTGCAATATTTGTCATATTTTCAATAACTATCACTTACCGAAATATTAATTTTATTTTGTATTGATCCATTTCATTTATATATTATACAGCGAAATACAACGAATACCATAAGGAGGCCCATAACATATTTCATTACTCACTACCGTACCCTAATTAACAACTGAAATCTTCAAGTAAACTATGGTAGAAACTGGGCAAGGCCCGATCGCAACACCACTATTTGCCCTCCCTAATTAAAGGAATGTCTGGCGAGCCAGTGCGAAAGTGTTTTTAATGAACTCATTCACAGCAACTAAAAAAATAGCCCGGTTGTAAACGAGTGCTATTCAAAAAACCAGTAAAGAAACTCTTAAAGTCGGGCGGGGCCGACTTCATGATACCCACTATGCATACTTAATAGAGCTTTACATAACAAATAAAAGTTTTTATGGGGAATTTGTGAGAATTAAATCATACCAACTATGATTGTAGTTATAATTTAAAGTCCAAAGCAACTAATCCTCCTCTGAATCGGCAAGCCAAGGCATTTGTGCCTGTTCAATTCGGGCGTGTATTACCCATTTGACGCACAATTAATTTGAAATCGGACGAAGATATGATATATATGGGAGCTATATTCAAATCTGAACTGATAAAATGTATCAAAGGTATTTCTGAGCTGTATTTGATATATTTCTCCCAATATTGTTGTTGCAGATTGCATATTACGGCGGCGGAGGACAAAAATAACAAATCGGATGAACAATATGTATGGAAGCTATAGCTATATCTGAACCGATTTCGATCAAACTTGCTACACTTGTTTTCAGGCCTAAGTTGGTCGTATGTGTAAAATTTTGGTTTGGTGCATAATAAAAGGCAAATCCGACGAAGATATATATGGGAGCTATGTCTAAATTTTGATCGATTATCTCCAATTTCAATAGGGTTCGTCCTTGGGTCAAACAAATGATTTGTGCAAAATTTCATCTGGATCAGACTCTAACTGCGACCTGAACTTTGTTTACAAGAAAATATGGACATAAGGACGAACATGCAGAAATCGACACAGAATGTAATTCTATGCAGATCATCAAAAGGAACCGTGGGTCTATCTCGTTTCTTTTTGCCTGTTACAAACAAATCCACAAAGACATAATACCCTGACACCTTGTGGGGTAGGGTATAATAAAAAGTGTCTACAACGCCATGGTGCAACTCTTTAACTATGGGATATCAAATCCGATACTAATGGATAGACTAGAATAACAGAAAACGACTTAGGTGTAGTTTATTTGGGATTCAGTTTTGTGTTTGAAAGCACTAATCTTTCACTGAGGCTTGGTTCTCGAACATTGCAATATTATGGACAATGACCCCATTAAGGATAAAATTCTAAGTCTTTTGAAAACAAGGTGCGCCTTGTGCATAGTGTAATAGATGGCCTGTCAGAAATTGTAACGTATATGACATACTTTTTCGACGTATAATACATGTGTCGAAAAAGTCGTAAACCTATGCAAATAATAAAGTTTTTTTTTGACAGAAACACGGTAATTGAGTATTTATGAAGCTTTTTATAAATTTTAATTAATGCCCGAACGTCTATCATCTGAGAAATCGTTCCATACTTTTCATAGACAGTGATCTTAAACCTGGCTATTTGGCAACAACAAAACACAGGTGCTCCATTCGTATTCTATGAAAAACTCAAATTAAAACTTTAAATATAGGCGCCAATTGTCAAATGAGATCCATATTAATAGATCAAGAATAATTTGGGCATGGAACACCTTGTAGGGCAAACTCTCGTATAAAACGACAATTCCGAAATGTTTCCCATTAACCCACAACAGCAGAATTAAGTCTTAAATGTGCTGCATCCCCCAGACATGTACCGTGTAAGAATAAAAAAACACATTTTATTTTATTTATTTTTTTACTTTGCTGCAAAAATCCAAATTTTATTGATTCCATTATCATAGTTGATTTCTTAAACGGATCGCATAGAGTATCGATCCGTTAAGAAATATTCAATAGTTCAGAGAGTTTTTCTTTTTCTTTTTTTTTTTTTTTCATTCGTTCACAGTGTGTGTGTGACACAAGTTTTCTTTGTGGATTCTAAAACGAATCCAGCAAACGCAGCTGTAAGAAAAATCTTTATAAAAGATATGTATTGAATTAAAAATTATAATGTATAATTAATTTACAATAGTAAAAAATAATTATGATAAGAACAAACAAAAGTGGTACAACAATTTAAAAATTAAGAAAACAAAAAATGATAATAGTAATAATTAGAGGTACAACAAAAAAAAAAAAAAAACAATAATTATTATAAGTGTGTAGAAAAAGAGATGCGATCGAAAATAATCTAATTAAGGCACAATCTTAAGATGTCAGAAATACGCGATTGATTGGTTGATAGACGACTGGTAAGACACATTGTTGTGTTCACACAGCTAAAGCTAAAACGTTAGTTGGAAAAGACGTTTTCGCAAAGGAAATTATTAAATCAAGACAATAGAAATTATTATTATGTGTGTGTGTATATATATATATATTCTAGAGGGCGGATTCTCAAGGAGAGGGAAAGTACTGCTAGGCATATAACAGAGAAAATTCTTAAAGATTCTTATTTTTTTCATGTTTTAAATTAGATCGTCTTAAAATTGTGGAAAATATGTATGTTTTGTGGTTTGGTCTGGGTGTAAGTGTAAATGCAAATATCACAATAATTTTCTTGTTGTTGTTGTTTTCATGGTTGATTTGTACGAATAAATAAATTTCATAATTTTTGTTGTCTCTTTTGTTTTAAGATCTAAAAGTTTTGTTTGTGTGTTCTCTTTTTGTACAGTTGTTTCATAAATTCAGGGATTTAAAATGTGAAAAATTAAAAGTTTTAAATAAAAATCACAGTTAATTTGTCAAGTTGCTTTCATTTGGTTTCAAAAAGAGGTTATTAAGTTTAAATATTATAATGTGTAATAGAAGTTTGCTTTTATTTATTAATAATAATTTTTGTTTTTCTTTAAGTTATTGTTATTATCATTATTATTGATATAATCATTTTGTAACTTGTCCATGTACTATATTAAATATTTTATATCTTTAATCGCAACAATAAATGTCTTTCTTTAATATAATTAAAAGATGAAAAGAAAATACGTTAAAGAAGCAAATTACTTAGACAAGCATTACGAGCGGTCTTTTAGGTTGTTGTTGTTTCTTGTGGTGGTGTCTACAAGCATCCTATCCAAGATATTAGTAGTAAGCTATAATAATTGATAGTTTGTTACAATTTTACATTCTCAGAGTTTAACTCACATCTACACGCTACATCTCTCTCTCTATCTCTTCCGAATTCTAATATCAGATCTTTCACATCTAATTTGATATAAATTTAGAAAAATTGTAATGTACCGTTAGTCTAAATTAGCATTCAACATGAAAGTAGTTTCGTTTAGGCTTCTTTGATTGCCTACCCTTCTCCGTTACAACACTATTTGTACATAATTCAGAGAATATACTTTCGGATTGATTAACTTTGAAGGTTTCTTTTGTGGTTATCATCAAGCCATTAAGTACATTATTAATCTTAAAGTAAATTCTTCCGTAAATTATATTGTAATAATAATTGGTTAATTATCGGGTAAATATGGAAATACTATTGAAGACAAAACAAATACAAAATCTTACAAATAGATTTTTATCTCATCGTCTAAATACAAGAGAATACAAATCTTGTTGATTTTAGTTATATGACATATGATGATTCCCATTTAGATTTATTTCCTTTTTTGTTTTTCTTTTTATTATATTTATATATGTATTTAAAAATAAATGTATTATATTACAATACACAATAGTCGGGGGGGGGGGGGGGGGGGCCAAAATAATTTTAGATCATGGGGGTTTGTTTATTGAGTTGGTTTAATTAATATGTGCTTGTGTTTGAAGCCAAGCAATCACTTTTTATGCTTTTGGGTTTTCTTACAGGCTAAGGGAGATGAATGTGTTGAATGAATCCTTAAGTCTAATAATAAAATGATTGGTTAATTTAACTTATCGGCTATAACTTAAATCTAGACATATTCTAAAATTATGGCTTAAAATATGCATCAACTTACAACTATCAAATTAAAAAAAAAAAAGAATAAATCAAAACAGATTAAAATTGAATATATCAAATAAAATGTATCATATATTGGTGGCTTGCCTTTATTTGGGGAAAAAAAACATTTGTGAAATTCTTTTGCAGACAAGGTGGCAAAAGCAATTTTTATGCGAAACAAAATGCATTGCTAGTCCATTAGCAAGACATAATATATATATATATATACTCTAAGGGCAAAGGTCTTAGGATTATTCGTAAATGGCAATAATACAGTTATATGTGATCTTTTTTATACTTAATTTAAGAGAAAATATTCAAAAGTCAAGTAAACATTTTACAAAGCCTTCAAAAAACAAAGGAATATAATTTCATTTTTTTTTTTTTTGCAATTGTGGTCAAGGTTTCTCTATGGTCAAAGCTATAGATAGGAGTTTGTCAAATTTGCTGAAAAAACACTTAAGATAAAGTAGTTAAAAAAGGCATAAAAATCAAAACAAAAACACATTCTCATGTAAAAGTTAAAAAAAAGAAAAACAATAATTTTAAAAATAAATTCATTAAAAAAATATTACATATATCCTTATGTAAAAAATATATTAAGATTACAAACAATTCTGAGAGCTGCTAATTCTCCCTATCATATGTTTTTATATCATGAATGCAAGTTTAATTGTGTAAGGCGAGGAATATGTCCATGACGACATTGGTCGAAAATATAATTTCGAAAAAAAAAACTGCCATTGTAAAGGTATTGAAAAAGATTTTGAACTTGAAAAGCGGCATGGCTTAATATATATGCCTTTGAAAAACATTTTGTGTATGTGTGTGTGTGTGTCTGTTCCCGTACATAGATCTACTAAACTTTTCAATTTATTTAAGCAAAATTTTTAAAAATGGCATATCTAATAGATTTTTGCATGTTTTGGAAATGAGCTTTCCATGTTTTCCTAAGCGGCTCAAATGTCTAAATGCTATGCCTTTCATATTTAACAAACAAATTTAATTGTGTGTTCTAAGAAATTTCATTGGCTTACTCATACATACATCTTTCAACTTGGCATTCATTCATTCATTCAATATTACGACATACAAATTATATAATATATATATATATGTGTGTGTGTGTTTGTGAAAAATCTGTCTGCTTAAGTAACGAATTATTTCTGTTTACAATTTATTTGCAAATTGCTAAATACACATAAGTCTTTGTTAGCAGTACGGTCTTCTTCCATTCTTTACTTTTCGTTAAAACTTTGTTTGTAATTTCTTTACAATTTGATGTATGTAATAGAGTTTGATTGTTTATAGGCTGATACATTTAAAGCATGTTTCGTTTATAAATATTTGTTAAAAGTGTTGGGAAAGTAAAGCGAAAACTAATTGCTCCCAAGAGCAGAGGGATGAACAGAGAGATTTGGAGAGAAAAAAAGATTATCAGATAGTGCAAGGTTTACGCTTAGTCATGCTTTAAAATTATTCTTTGTGGCTTGCGCTTCGAATCTGCACTGGAGCCACCGCCACCGCCGCCGCCTCCATGTGCCGGCGATTGCTGCCTACTGCCACTGCTACCATGATTGCGCACATCCAAACGATCAAGAATGACTCTGCGTGAGTTTCCATTACCATTTCCCGAGATGTTAGCGCCGCCTCTGTTACCTGTAGATGAAGACGTCGACGTGGTGTTGGATGAAGTTTTCAAAACTATTCTGCGGTTGGAGGAACTTAAGCTTTGCTTGGATGTTCCACCGCCACCACCACTATTACTATTGCCACCGCTGCCGCGCACTTGGAAATGCCTTCTAGACAATGCTTTGGCAGCTGGCTCAGGTGATGGTGTGCGTGAGATGTCTCTTCTTTTGCTCAACGCATCTCTAGGCGGCGATGCTTCCGGCTCCGAAGCTAATAAATCATCCTCGTCAAGCAAGAGATCATCCTCATCGTAGTCCAATTGCACTTCGTCTTCACAGCGTGAGGATAAACGCCTTGGAGGTTGATGGTGATTTTGTGGTTGCGGCCTGATAGCTGCAACGGTTGCCGACGAAGACGACGAGGACGATGTATCTTTAATGAGGACTGGCTTTATGACAGCCGTGTTATTTGCGAGACTACTTGAATGTTCTCTGGCCGAACCCGACGATACATTGTTAGCTAAATGGTCGGTCAAAGTTTTCTTGGCTTCGGGCAATATTTTTGCCGTAGGTATAGTTTTTCTTTGCGTATTCGCGTGTTCATCAAAACCGTCTGTGGACTGCGTTTGTGGACGTTTTTTCAAAGAAATTATTTTACGTTCTGGCACAACTTCCTTAAATTTTTGGGGTGGCTGCTGCTGCTGTTGTGTCTGTGATTGTGGCTGTTGTTGTGTTTGATCGTCCTTATGAGGATGAGATGAATTGCCACGTTTTTCCTAAAGAGTTTGTTGAGAATAAATTAAATGTATCGCAATTTCTTAGTATTAGTGAATATAGTGAAGAAGTTCGCCGACATGACACGATTTGTTTCCGGCATAAAGGAATATTTTTTGTATAATGAAATTATGAATAGTTAAGTAACAAATCACGTTAAGAAAATAAATACACAAGTGTTCATTCATTTAAAAAACAATACATTAAATAAAAATAAAACAAACTAAACCTCAATTCGGAAGTTGTTTTTCTTATTTTCCCTTCGCTTAAATCGTATTCCTATCAACTGTTTATCCTTGATTTAGTCACTCACCTCGTATTGTTTTTCTTCAGCTGCACGACGACGTTTCATTTCTTTGTCTCGCATTATTTGCTCTCTTAGCGCCTTCTGTTTTTCAATTTGCAAACGGTAAGCACGGGTCTCCTCATCCTCATCAACCTACGAAATGGATACATTTATTTAACATAATATTGTATTGGTGATTTTTGAACTTTGCATTAAAATGATGAGTTTGACAAACAATTTTCCTAAACAATTCTTGGTTAACACTCACCTCCGCTTTATCACGATCATTGTTATACCGTCCCCGGTTATTGCCGAAATTACCAGCTCTGTTGCCAGGCGAGGGAGATTTACTACGACGACGTTTGCCATAGTTGCCACCTCCTCCGCTTCCTTGATAATCACGATCTCTGCTGTTGCCACGTCTGAAACGATTACCGCCCCCGCCTGCTTGTCGATTATTGTATGCTGGTCCTGGACGATTACGGTCTCTTTCACGGTCATCTCTATCACGACTTCCGGCACGGCCTGGTCTCATGTTGCCATCGTTATTTCCGGACCGATCACGATCTCTTTCTCGGTCTCTTTCACGTTCCCTGTCACGATCTCGCTCACGATCGAAACGATCATTTCGATTGTTGTTTGGGCCCCCATTCGGATGGCGTTTTGGTGGAGTATAACTTCGTTCCCGAGACATGCTGCGTGATCTAGTCCTTGAGCGACTCCGTGGCGACCGGGTGCGCGAACGTCGGGTCGGTGAAGTTTCTCTAGCATGGCGTCGTTTTTCAATATGCTCCCGATTTTTATTAATGAACTCTTCTTGCTGACGCAGCAACTCCTCGTCGCTTTGTATGCGCGGAACCTGTCCACCACTATTTATTCCCATATACTGAGTCTCCTGTATAAATTTACTTGTGGCTGCTTCAACACCTCCCTTAAAGTTGGGATTTATTAAAACCTTCCTTGGAGCTATCGCCGATGCTGGGGCTGGCTGTGCAGGAATTTGCGGCACAGGTTGTGGATTGCTCCCTGCAACTGCCGATTGGTTAGTTCCAGGTTGAGGTTGTGGCCCGGGCACCGCTTGTGGCCGTATTTGCAATGAAGAAGCATTCATAAAACTAACTTGTCCGGCCATAGCGTGAGGCGGTAGTGCTTGTAATGGTGGTCTTTGCATTCGCATCCCCGGTCGCATACCTGGCGGGGCATTACCGATTGGACCATCTGGTCGAAACAAGTTTCTTGGTGCGCCATATGGATGGTTGAAGGCTGCAGGGCCTTGATTAGGATTGTACTCATTTGGTGCTTGCGCATACATGCCACCGGGGTTAGGATGTCGAAAACCTCCCATTGGCCCCGGTCGGAAGCCAAATGGATGACGAGGTCGTTGATGGGGATTGTTGTGATCTAGGTTGGGGGGTAAGGGACCATGAGTGGGATTGTGCATTGTATTGGGAGGGGGTTGTGAGCCAAAGGGATTAGGATTGGTTTGCTGTGGAGCTAAGAATTGTTGACCTGGAATAAGAGGATTCGTGGTAGCGTGTGTTAACGTAACTGTTGCTAAGTTGCCCAAAGGCGAGAAGTGTGCTGGTGACAGCAAGGATATATTACCATGGTGGGGGAATCGCAGGGGAGGGCGGGGAAATAGGGGAGAGGGACCTCGCATAGGATGACCTCGAATCAGTGGGGCACCATTTCGTTTCTGATGAGGAACATAGCGACTCATGGATTTTTCTAGAAAATAATATGAATTATAAGTTAGTTAAATAATAAAAATAACAATAAAAATAATAATAATAACAAAAATGGCTTATGCTCAAACGTAGTTTTTACAGACCCTGATTGAACGTATCGCTCATTGACGCAAAGTGTCATTTTGCGATGTTTCAATGGAAAAATGACACCATGGATTATTAAGATGATAAACTATTAATATTTTTAGGTCTTTTCTTTACGTGAAATAGTACAATCCCGCATCGATATGAGCGATGTGTTCATTCAGTGCTGGAGAGTTAGGAACAATTGAATGGCTTCCCCAAACGATATTTGGTCCTACCTGGTGACTGTTCATTGCTTTGCTCAAATGTTTCTCTTTCATTCGTCGTCTTAATATTGGTTCGCTCTTCGCGTTCTTCCTCGAAGTCTTCACGCGGATCAGAAATATCACCATGGCTCAAGGTAACACTAGCACTTTCTTGGGAACTTGGTATGGCTGATGAAGCACTCGAGTCATTTGCCAAGCCGCATGTGGTTGAGTTCGACACCGTCGATGATTGCTCCACATCCAATTCCTTGTTTGAGCTTGACGATACCTCTGCGGTAAGCAAGGTATCATTGGGTACAGATGTGGTCGGTATGTTTTCATTGCACGCCGTGACATCTTCATGTTCACATTTTTGGGCTAGCGCTGTATCAATTTCGGCATTGCTCTGCCCTTGTTTCTTATTTGTGACAGCCGTTTGTAATTGGGGAGATTCTTTTAGTTTAGCTCCAACGGCATTATTTTCATCCGCACTTTCTAATGTCTTCTTATTCTTATCTTTAATTTGAGATTTGACCCATTCTTCGGCTTCAGATTTTATTTTTTGTTTTTCCTCCTTTGAAACGTCCTTTTCAAGATCTAGAAAGAAATTCGGTTAGTACTAATGCCATATAAAAAAAACAAAGCTGAGTAGGGTGGTGGGCGGTAAACGCTCACCGCCACACACAAACACACGATTGCACTTACCTTCATCTGAAAGCAATAGCTCGTCCTCATCGGCACCATACAAAACTTGATCATCTATAACATCTCCTATTTCATAATTTAATAGGTCATCACTATAAATAAAAAAAATTGCATAGAAATATGAAGAAATCTCTTTTTCACTTCTATCCTTGTTAGGTATATATAGAAAAAATCATTGACACGCAGAAAACACTGTATGCAGTCAGATTTTTCACAATTTTCATAGCTGATTTTTTCTCACTATCACATAAAAAGTTGCAAAATGTTATTGTGTTCCTAAAATTCGGTATGTCAATCACACATTTCTTTACAAAATAATTATTTTATTAAATGATTTTGAGCCAGAAAATAAATAAATAAAATGTAAAATATTTTACACAACTCACTTTAAGTCAGACATTTTGATAATGCTGGCTAAAGGTGGCAAACAATCGATGGCAAAATCGATACTTTGTTTTATAAATAGGTATGGATTGATAATATTTTCTATCGATATTATCGAACGAACTGATCGTACCAATGGCAATGACAGATGCCCTGCCGCAGAACATGCAAGAATCTGCAATTTTCTGATATTTTTATGGAAAAATCGGTTATGGGTTTTTATGAATTTTTACATTTTTGCAGGTTCTGAAAGCAGGGCATGTATGATTATGTGGAGAAAAACAATCACTTCGACATGATAACTTATTTTAAATGTTAAGAAACTGTGGTCATTTAGGCCGTATTTACACGTACAACATTTTCCAGAAACAATGCCAATAAGAAAATGAAAGAAACTTTTCTTTCCCTCGAACATTGTATGGGTGAATTGGTGTATCCCAGCGCACTCACACTAATTTTCTACAATTCTTTTTTAAAGCATTAATAAGAACTTTTATTATTACCGTCGTTTTGGTGAAATTTTGATAGGCATTGTTAAGAGCTTAAAGAATGCTGAATCAAAACACAATACAAGTTAATCGATGAAAATGAAACGGGGACTCAAAATCAAAAATGGATTACAAATATACGTGTTTGCTTCTGAAAAATATTAATTTCTATTACGGTGGGATTTTTTTAGGAATATATATAGAGGAATATATAGTCTAAAACATGCCTCAACTTTAAGAACTACCCGAATTCGCCAGTCCATATATTAAAATCTACCAGGTTATAACGTTGTAAAAATTGTTAGATTTTAAACTTCATGCAATTGTTATATTTTGCAATAATATTATAATATTTATATTATTTTAAAAACTCTGAATTTCATATGGCCAACGTATTTGTGAAAAATGCCTATGAATACATGCGCCTTATTTGTGTGGTGGAAAACGTCGATGAGTGCGTCGAATTTTAGGTAACGCTGTATGTGTTTAATTGTGTGGTGAAATACGTCGACCGAGTACGTCGAAATTTAGGTATCGCTCTATGTGGTTTACTTGTGTGGTGAAATACGTCGACCGAGTACGTCGAATTTTAGGGAAGAATTTAGTTTAATAAAGAAAGTCAAAGTCAGAACAAGTCGTTTTCCAAATAGAAACTGCTACGTTTGAAAATAATTCTCTAATTTTGAAGAAAAGTTAAAAAGCAACAAAATGAAGTTCATGTATAAGGAGGAACATGTTTTTGAGAAGCGCCGTGCTGAAGGTGATAAAATTCGCAGAAAATACCCCGACCGTGTACCTGTAAGTAATATTTTGTTGTGTGTTTATATGTATTTTTTCTTTGTGTTGTCGATTTTTTTTTCCTAAAAGGCGAGAAACTGTCCCAAGTCATTGTAGGAGGTCAAATTAGATAGAGTTTGCAATGACAAATAATGAAAATCTTAGAAAATTTAAATATATTCTACAAAATTGCGTCATAAAAATAATGAAATTACAGTTGGATCAGAGGGCGAAGCCGATGTGAAATTCTCGGCGGCGGCGGCTAAGCATAAAAAAGTCGGCGGCGGCTAAAAGTCGACTGCAGCCGAAAGAAAATCGGCGGCGGCGGCTAAAGCAATATACGGCCGGCGGCGGCTAAAAGTCGGCTACAGACGACGACTTTAACGTGAACAAATAATTTCGGTTGTTTTAATAACTGTCAATTCATTTAATTTAAAATAAAAATGAAAATATAAGTTTATATGCACATTTGTTGCTCATTAAAAATTAATAAAAATACTTTAATTTGATAAAAATGGTTCGACGACTGCCTTGTTATCGTGAACAAACAATTGTTTCTTTACTGTTGCCGGATGCAGGCTGCTTCTCTTTGCATTTACACAATTCCCGGCATATGAAAATGCTTGCTCTGAAGATGCTGATGTGGCTGGAATTCCAAAGCACATATTTGCTACAGTAGCAACATTTGGAAAGATCTATAAAAAGTAAATGGTCAAAACGTAACCTGCTTAAAACAAGTTTAAGATGTGAATCTTTAACGTACTTGTTTGTTCTGTCGCCACCAATCTAGAGGCTCAACCGCCTCGACTTTCATTTCCAAATATTTTCTTATTTCTAACTCTACGTTATTTTGTACATTAGAAGGCGATGGTCCCATAAATTCCAACATTCTTTGACGACTAGCTGATATTTTCTGCAAGTAAAATATACGTCAGTTAAGTTTACCTTTACATTTATTAAAACATAATACCTGTTTTTTTGCATTTGGTTCAGTGCTCGTTGATGGCTCATTTAATAATGTGTCATCGATTTCCTTTAATTTTTCAATTTCTTCCATAATCAAGTTCTCCTTGGAAATTGGGGACAGAACATCATGCACAAGTTCCAAGGAGTTTGGCGATTGTTTGGGTATCTGTAGTATATATTTATCTAAAACAGGCCAGTTTTTTTGGCATGGGTCCATAAGCGCAGCTACAACATACATTCTATATACTTTGAATCGCTTCGTGAAGTTTTGCACAGCGAAATTGCATAAATTGATTGTTAATTCAAAAGACGCTTTTTCTTCTTCTTTCTTCAATGAGGACATAATGGATTCCTGAAAATAAATACACGAAGATATCGTCGGATAATCTTGGCCTTGAAGGTGTTTTGTGGCGTCCTCAAAAAATTTTAAAAACGTGCCAAATTCCGTTATAATTTGCTTTTCCATTGTCCCAATCACTAACAGTTCCTTTTTAGCTTTAACTAATGCTACATTTATAGTGGATATATTATTCGTATAGCTTTGAATCATTGCAAGCAGAGAGTTCCAACGTGTTGCAACGGAATTTTTCAAAGAGGTGTGGTGCTTGACGTTTAAAGTTGCTTCATATTGTTCAGTAAAATAGTCATCTCCATGTGGAAATTGTTCGCAACTATCCAAACTCTCCAAAATTATTTCAACCTCTGTAAATATTTTTTCTAAATCGTTTTGTTCCTCCATATTTTGAATATTTGATATTTCTTCATAGCTATACATTAAGCTGCCATAATTTTTTTTTAATTTTGATATTATGTTATTAATATTTTCAAATGACTTGTTGTTTAGTATATCTTCCATCAAAAATCTGTGTAAAACATGAGCCATACAACCATATCTTGGTATATTTTTAATTTTTAAAGCTGAAACGATGTTGCTTCCACCATCAGTAACAGCACATATGTTTTTTTCCAACAGATTAAATTCACATAAAGCTTCTTCAATTTTTTCTACAACTGCTAGTCCAGTGTGAGGTCGTGGAAAGATCTCTGTCTTGAGCGTTACAATTTGCATTTGAAAATTTTGGCAGAAATGCACTTTTATGTTTATGTAAGACAAGTGCTTATGTTTATCTGACCACATATCCAATACAAGTGTAACATTTTTGGGCGACTCTTTAAGGCTTGTTTTTACGTGGTCCAAATATATGTTATAAACATCGTTTAAAGCCGTCGTAGCTATTGTCCTATCTGTGGGGAATATAGCCTTTGGGTTTAAGAAAGATACCAATTTCTTAAATCCTGGCCTTTCAACAATTTTAAACGGTTGCAAATCCCAACAGCACATTTCGGCGACCCGGCGAGCATTTTGTTGTTTGTTGTTACAACTTGTTGAGGATTTCAATGCATTTTGTGTCATTGTTGAACTTTTCAGGTTATTTAAAGATTTCACGTCCAAGTTATGTACAGCTCGTAGATGGTTCATATAATTTGTGGTTGATGTTGATTTTCCAAAACTAAAATCATAAACATTTACACACATGCGAATGGAAAAAATTAGAAATTCTTACCTTTTTAAATTGGTCTTTTCATCCAAACACAATTTGCAAAATTTATATTTTTGAAGAATATGCCTCTTTTTAAAATAGAGATCACCAAAATATTTCCAACACATTGATATACCACCTTCATTTACAACAACCTTTGCCAAATTTTTAAATTCATTTTTCTTTTTAAAAGGATCTTCATATCGAGATACATCTGCATATGGAGAAATATTGATTTCAGTATCAACAGATTCGTCAGAATCGGATTCTGATTTAGTCAAAACTGTTTGACCCTTTCGGTTAGCGGAAAAATAATTTTTAATATTCCTTTGGCACATTTTGCATTCTTTTCTTTGAACAAGCAAAAACACAACGAATCTTTGGCAAAAAATATGGTTGCCACTCCATAAAAAATTCGTAAGTTACAAAAGGTTGCCAAAGGTTTTGTGATAAAAAAAACAAATCTACAAAGTCATAATACCCTTACCACTATGTGGTGTAGGGTATAATTAATATAAATAGCCTACACGTTTTAGCCTCTCGAAGACGAGCGCACAATGTAAATTATCGTCCAATAATGAGCATTATAATATGTTAATTTATCGATAAGATTAAAAGACATATTTATACAAATTTGCTGTATAAATTTATATTTTTCAACGGCTTAGCCGACTCAGTCGGCTAAAAATTTGAGCCGATGAGAGCCGCATACATCAGCGGCGGCTCAGATCACTTAAAAAAAGTCGGCGGCGGCTGCACGCCGACTGCGAGCCGATCGGCTTCGTGCTCTGTGTGCGCAGTAGCTGAAATAGAAAATAAGCCAAAACAAAACAAATGCGTAAACAACTACCTAGTCCATTTTTAGTATAGAGCTTATAATATGCATAGGTTATTAAATAATTCTCGTTAGGATATTAATTCTGGCAAATGTCAATGATTTTACTTTTCGATGGCCTTTGCGCATTCATACGAACAACATACCTACCTACATGCAAACATGTTGACTCATACAAAATAGTGATTTCAATCGAACTTGTTTAACTTGCTATAGCAATAGCAAGTCAATAGTAGATAACGCAAATATCTTTCGTTTATACTTTGTTCCTTTATTAAGTGCCTATGTTGTCCGTATTGTTGGCTGATAGTATACTAAGAATGATGCTTCGCATAATTTATAGATCTCGAATGATTCTCATAGCAGACAGCCAATCTCTAGATTTGTGACTTTAAATAATGTATTCCTTAGGGAAGGGTTCTTCTTCGATGTTCTTAACTACCTTTCCAAATAAATTCTCTATCCTCTCAATTCCCTACTTGTTCAGTTATGGCAACATTTTAATTACATAGTCTTAGAATTATTACATGTTCGTAGTCGTTGTCTATTCTCTATTTGTGTTTTGCTTTCATTTTCAATTTTGCCTTACGTATGGAATGTGCCGTACACATTGGAATAACACCTCACCACTACAACAATATTAATTTCATGACTTTGTGAAACAATAAAGTACGAAACGTGATATATCGAAACTAGGCGTAAAGAGCAATTTGTTGTCTGTGCACTTATTTACAAAAGAATTGGATTTGTTTACATGTTACAACAATGTCTTTCTTACAGAAGTAGATGGAACCACGTATGAATTTCAATAATAATAAAATGTATGTTTCTATTTTTTTTCTATTCTAGGTAATTGTAGAGAAGGCACCCAAAGCACGAATTGGCGATTTGGATAAGAAAAAGTATTTAGTACCTTCAGACTTGACTGTTGGACAATTTTATTTCTTGATTCGCAAACGTATTCAATTGCGACCAGAAGATGCCCTATTTTTCTTCGTGAACAATGTAATTCCACCAACATCGGCCACAATGGGTTCTTTGTATCAGGTTTGTTGTTTAAATGGTAGACTACTGCACATGTGCACTATTCTTATTTGCCTTTTCTCGATTTTAGGAACACCACGAAGAAGATTATTTCCTTTACATTGCCTACTCTGACGAGAATGTTTACGGCGGCAGGCGCTAAATGCAACATTTGTTTGTTTGCTCTGGAGTGTGATTAAAAAAAACTGAAAATTACAAAAACAAGTTAAAATTAAGCACGCATATATATGAAAATTCTTTGTCTGGAGTCTTTGCGGCAAGAACGATTAAAAAGGAACGCTAGAGAACATTAACATATGTGCAAAAAAAATATATATATACTGATCTTTTAAACGAATTCGCATCTAATCTTAAAAAACACTTAGTTATAGTATTAGTTATAATTCATTACTATTATCATTTCAAAATTTCAAAAAGATATGCACATTTTCTATGAGCATATTTACTATCGATTTTGTTGGTGGAAGAGTTTATTGAGTTCCATTATAATTGCCTGAACACGTTTTAACTTTCTGGAGCGGTTTTCCAGCCTCTATTAAAATGTGCATATTATGTATTTTTTACAAATCATAAGTATATATTTTTAAATTACCCATAATGAAAGTATAAATAAATGCCTAGGATACCTATACGAACATGTCTTCTCATTCTTATTGTAATAGTTGTTAGCCGGAGAGTTCAGACACAATTTAAATATCCATACCTAATTTCTGTTCCTCAAAAAATATAAAACGACAAAGTATCGTACAAACAAAAATATATTTGGATCTTAAGATATACAGAAAAATAACAATAAAATTGGGATAAAAATAAAGAACGTTATAAAAATTAAAATAGACTTTACAAAGCGGACATAAATTCAAAATATGTACACAAAGGTCCAGAAGAACGCATTGAACACTAGAAAGGACATTGGGAACAATACACGGGCCTTGGCATCGATCCATTGCGATATTTGTTGGGGTGTAAGCGTAGTCCAGCCGTTTTTACTTTCCCCATTATTGCCATTGCTGCTGTTGCCATCTTCCAAGAGGCCGACATCCATTTTTTGGCTATTGGGAGCGGTGGTGAAAGATGTCACCTTCGACACATTATCCATTTCGGTCTCATTTTCATTGATTGTGGTAATTGGAAAGTTGTGCACCGTTAAGTAGTTATTGAACTTTGGGGCTCCAGTCAGGGAAATGCTGTCGGTGCCCAGAGTACCTGTTGAAAAAGAACGCGAGCGTGCTTTCCGCCTTGACAGCCGCGGTGAAAGAGTTGATTTTAAGATGTGCCTACTGCTCATAGATTTTACATCCACATTCTGCTTACGCCTCCAAATTGTGTTGACGAAAGCAAATTCCAATAAACTGCCAAAAATAAAGAGGGTGCACCCGAGAAACCACACCTCCGACACTTTGATGTAACTCACCTTGGGCAATGTTTTACCTATAAATACTCGTCAGGATAAGGACAAATCAGAGTAACAAAAGTATTTTTACCAACCTTGAGCCGATGCTAATGTTATGAAAGTCAGCATTGTAGAGGTCCCTAGCATAATGCGGGGAGGCGCCTGGTCAGCTTGCAACCAAAACGAAACCCATGATATTCCCACAATCAACATTGATGGCAGGAAGTAATCCATGATGTAGAAGCCTACTTCTCTCGTAAAATGTACTGTAAACCCCAACGAACTGTAATTACCCGCAAACGCTCCGTGACGGAGATCGTTCAAGTCTGCATTAATCACAGTCTCATTGCTCCAAGCCTGTTGTAGAATGTACTCTGTCAGATGCAGATCTGGATCGAAAGTGATCGGCCGCTTCTGTTCCCAGTGCAATATCAATTCCGATGTATTGTACATCCAGCTTTCCAAATACGTAGAGCAGTGCTGCTCGTCAAAGGGAAATTTCTGCAAATTCATCCAGCAGTACAAGGTGGCCTTTATTCGACTGGAAATGATTACCGTTCCATCGGGAGAGATTGAGGTTAGAATATCTTTTTCATTGGTGCCCATTATGCTGGAATCTCTTTCGTTGGCTAAAAATATGTGCGGTACCCATAGATTATCACGTAACGGCTTTTCGCCTAGTATGGGTTGCTTGCGTTTGGGCGCAACTTTGCGAAAAGTCAAACGAGGATCGAGAAAACGCAGTTGCAGGAGAGCATGGATTTTAAACTGCAAATCGTGGGCTTCCAAGTTCTGCATAAAATAGACATACCACCGAACGTAAACGTCCACAGGAAGTCGATTGCCTGACTCTGAATATGTAATTGGCCTCTCCAGGCGATCGTAGCGGCAGCCATGTGTTAACCTCTCAAGCAGTTGCGTTTGGGACAGGTTGTCGGCGTCAAGGAGAGTAGGACAATCTGGTTCGGCACAATTTGTACAACAAACAAAAACAAGCAGCACTATTAATTTTCTCATTCCTAAAGCCGGGAAACAACACAATTGACCTTTAACAAGTGCAACGAACACACAGACTACACGAGATGTCCAGCCAACACACCATTAATAATAACCTGTTGAAAACTAACGGTTTTTGTATAAGACTAAAATTTGAGATGGCAAATCAATTCAATTCCGCTCATTATTCAAATCGTACAAGTCGTAAGCTTGATGCCAAGGTTGGTACATTTTACAGATACAGAGCCCATACCTTGCCAACACATAACAAACATGTCTTTTGATCTCCTTACAATTGTATGCATCTTTATTTAGAAATAAATAGTATATAAAATGGAATTAAATGCTCGCTTATGAGAATCTCAGAGTTACAGTTCCCCTCCTCTATCACCTTTAACATCCTTGTTGGGTTTGTTCTTCCCAACAACACCTTGTACGGTTTCCTTCAAACATTTCTTGTCGTTTTCGTGCAAAACTTGCTCGGCACACAAATGGTCGATTAAACCCTTCTGATCTTGTTCATGGAAATACCATTCGTAAATTGCGTCCTCATATGTCTCCAACATATCCTCGCACTGACTCTTCATGTGCGTAACTTCTACGGGCGGTTTGTCCCACAATTCTAATGGTATTCCCAAATCCACTTTGACTCCTTTATCCACCAGTCCATGTAATGTTTTAAATGTTTCAGACATGCCTTTGGCGAAACGAGTGCTATCGCTGCGTTCCTTGTGCAGGTTGTACTCCAAAATCCTGTCACAAACATTTTCCAGTGATTCCAGCAAACGTAACTCACTTCGACGATACTCTGTCCTCTTTTTGGGCTTGACGTCATCTACGGAGTAGCTAATTTAGACGCAATTAGCAACAAAAGGCCACTAGCTTGTACAATCCATCCCTTACCCTGTTTCAATGACATCGTGAGACTTGCCGGTCTCTGAAAGACGTTCTTGTAGTTCTGTGGCAAGGATCTTGCATGTCTCACACTTGCTGGCAAATCGTACTCCCTGTTCTTCCTCGGGAGTTGTGGCAAGAGCATATGTTGTTAGAGAAATGCATATAACCAGCCCGAACAATTTCAACATATTGCTTGGAATGGATTCCTTTTCCATTACTTGGATATCAGAGAGTTCAATGTAACTATTCCGTAAAGAGAACCATTGGAGCTATATACGGCTCTTTCGTTCATTAGATGGACAAAAGGCAAATTAAACAGGTAGACAACCTGCAGAAATCAAAAATTTTTAATGAAATTATTTTTAAGTAATTTATTAAATATTCTTTTATTTTTGTTAAACAATACATCGCTCAACTCCAATGAGTGTCATTCAAAAACAATGTCCATGCTGGAGCTTCATAATTTGTGACATGTCAACTGGCTGTCTTGTAGATTTAAAGAAGGCTAATCAGTATGATTCTAAACGTCTAATCAGTCATGGAAGGGAGTTTCAAACTATGAATTTACAGAACTTGAGACACACTTTTTGGCAAAGCTAGGATACCTATTCGAACATGTATTTTCGTTCTCCGTCTAATGGATGGTGGCTGGAGAGTTCCGCGACATTTTAAGGGTATGTATTAAGCATCCCTCTCACCTCCTCCTTCCTCCAAACAGATTCCAAATGATTGGCCTTAAATTGTGATATCCAAAATGAGAGCTGTTGATTAGATATGATCGCGGGTTGATGATACGATGTTCATCTATTTCCAAAAGTTCTCCTGACGTAAAGTGATTTTATATAGCCAGCTTGGCATCGTGGCATGGCATATACTTTGACATTAATCACCATTCCTATTTACACCAACTGCAACATGAGGGGAGCGGCAACTGAATGATTCGATCGGCAATGTAGTTCTTAAAACCATGCCACTCGGCTTTGCTATAATTTATGATGAATGTGAAATTTTCAGCTTCCAAGAATAATAATTTAAAATACATCCTCGTTAAAAATTGTTCGATGCACATCAAGGTCTTGTAATGACCTCCATTTAGCGATATTCCTCAAATATAGAAATTTTGTATGTTGGGTTCGTAATCATTAAAAAGGCAATCTGATAAAAAGTGTTAGAGATTTTTAGGGCACCGGGTTGGGCCACAATTTAGGTTTTCACATGGTGAAGGGTATAACAAGTTCGGCACGGTCGAACTTAACACAGTCTTTGTATGTATATTTTACATCAACTTTTGCAATAGGCATTATGCAATCCGTTTATGCTATTGAATGGCAAATTAAGTAAAAAGTTAAATACCAGGGGGATGCTCATGGGTAAAATTTGCATCACTTAATTTTGAATGAATATTATGAATATTGATTATTTGATTTGAATATGTTTATTAGTAAACAAACAAATAAAACAGAAAAATATACATTAATCATATATTTTTAGTTAAATACCTATTCGATTGATGACTTTGCAAACTTTTAGAAAATTTAAGAAAAACAATCGCTGATAGTGTTATCAGTGAAATACACTGTGGACCGTTAGAATACTGCAGATGGAATACTTTGCGTTTACAAATGTGAATTAAGTGAAAATTAAACGTTGATATGAGATCCTAATTGCCCAGTCATTCTTCACTAAGTCCTCCAGGATGTAAAGAGTCTTCCAGATGGAATAGCTTGGCATCTGCTCACCCTTAATATACACATTAATTTGTTACCTTTTACAGATGTGGTGCGAATGTCGCACATAACACCAACACCAAAAACCAGATGATGATGATGCTCGAACAAACGTACAACCATAGTTTGTATTCATATGTATACATACATACGAACGGCCACAGAATCTTTCGACTTAATAGCGCTGATATTTCTGTCTGACTAGCTAAGATTAAAATCATACAGAGCTCCATCTCAAACAAAGAAAGCAAATACTTGCAGTAATCATTCGGAAATCGTAAGCTTTAAAATACGGACGGGATACGAGCTGTCTTACGTAACGAAAAATTGAAGTCAAACGAATTCCAGTGGTTTTTATTACCATCCATCCTTCCATCTAAACAATGTAAAAGTCTGTTCCCAGTTTAATGTAAATTCACAGCTCAAGTAAGCATTCGTTTCAAAAGACCCACAAAATAGTTCCAAGATGGAGGTGTATACATCGGATAGCAGTGATACCGATTCTCGTGAACAAAAGACTCTGGATTACAGCCGAATGAACCTCCAGGAAATTAGTCTAGAGGATGACCTTTATTCCGAAACTAAGCAACGACTTAAATCCCAAAAGGACATAGAAATTCTTCTGCTCAACCATAATCGACTGAAATATCTACCGGCAACAATAAAAACCTTTGTCAATTTAAGAACTTTGGATTTGAGCCAGAATTGTTTAACGGAATTACCCGAAGCCATAGCCCAACTGCCATTTTTGGTGACATTAGTGGCGAAGAATAACCAACTGACAAATCAGTCTTTACCCAAATCATTCAATGCCTTGAAAAGTCAACAGAGCCCACTGAAGGAACTGAATTTGAGTGGAAATCTCCTCACACACTTCCCAGAACAAGTTATCGAATTGAAGCAATTGAAGTACCTATATATTGGCGGTAACCAAATAACAGCTATCAGCAAAGACATATGGAAAATGCAAAGGTTGGTTTCAATACACAATTCAAGTTGGTTTTCACATAATACCGCGATGGTGAAATTAGTTAATTGGCGTAAAAAACACGTTTGTGTGTATTAACAGTACATACATATACACATGTTTAAACTGAGTAATAATAAACCCAATTGATAATCTTTTCAGTACGGGTCATCAATACAATGAAAAGTCTCTATATTCTCCAAAATCTGTTTATTGATACGGCTTGAGTATTGTTTTTTCGCTGTCTTTATATTTTGCAGCTTATTTTCCTTTTTTGGTTTCGCATGTCTCCAACTGGAGTGAAATGTCTTATGCCATTCCAAATTTCCAGAGATTACAAGGCTTAAAACAATAATTTTTCAATAATCTTTAAAGCAGAACTTTACGGCTAACAACCGACATTTCCAATATACCGCTCGAGTTCTTAAAAAAAATTAATTAATAATTTCTTATTTTAGCCTTCAGGTCCTGTCGATGGGAGGAAATCTTATAACAGAAGTCCCCGAATCGGTTGGGCTTTTAAGTCAACTTCAGGCTTTAGTTCTCTGTGATAACCTTATCGAGAATCTACCCACAAGCATTGCCCGTTTGAAAATGCTGAAGTCATTATTGCTGCACAAGAATCGCCTAAAACATTTGCCAAGGGACATTGTAGCTTTGAAAAACCTAGCTGAGGTACCCAAACACATATACCACTTCAAAAACATATGCATTTATAAATGGTTTCCTATTTACAGCTAAGTCTACGTGATAATCCATTGGTCGTGCGATTTGTTCAAGATATGGCCCTAAATCCCCCAACACTAATGGAATTGGCCGCAAGAATTGTTAAAACAACAGGTGTAGAAGTCCAGCCTGGAGATGTACCTCAAACTACCCTTGAATATTTGAAGTGTGCAAATTGCTGTGTGAATCCGAACTGTAAAGGTGTGTTCTTCGATAATCGTGTGGAACATATAAAATTTGTGGATTTCTGTGGCAAGTATCGTGTTCCCTTGCTTCAATACTTATGCTCTTCCAAATGCATCGAACACGAGGAGGATCCCAGACGGCAGTCTAGTAGCAACGCAAGTGGATATATGTTGCGAAAGGTCTTATTGGGTTGAATGAAAAATAACGATTAATTGTTTATAATCTAACTGATAGCAAAAAATATATATACAGCCGAGCATTTAAGGCTACGAAGGTTTTTTATTGCTAGAATATATAAAGGGTTTTGTTGTCGATTGTTATGTAAAATACTCGATATCATTATCGGTCAACCCGTTTATATCATTATTAAAAACCCTCTTGGAATGTCAAAATGTATCACAAGCCTTGTAGGAGGCTACATGGCACATGCAAAAATTTTAATGCCGAAGAGCCACATGATTGCGAAGGGCGTGTTACGGCTGGGATGCAGTCCATTTTGTCTCTAGATCACTCATTTGTTGGAAAGTAGTTTTGATACTCTGTCATGGCATTTTTACAATTAATATTTTTCAGAACTGCAAGTATGTAAAATTTTTAGTACGATAACTGATTTTTCCTTCATGATATCAGAAAAAGCAAAACTAGTAGTTTCTTTAGGTTCTGGAACAGAGCAAATATCAACTTCATTATTCAAATTGATAACATGACTGTAAATATCTGCTACATGTGTGCATTTAAAATTTTATGCAACAAATATTTGTGTTATAAATTAGTTTATATATCTACAAAAAAATCGAAAAATTAAATGCACAACGTATGAAGAAATTAATGAATTTTTCGAGATTCGGGATGTAATGCTTCAAAATTTTAGTATAACCACTACTTCATATCGAAAAACCAAATTTGAGACAACGCTTGAGATTTTTATTATGATTTTAGCATTTTGAGCTGATTATGAAATTATATAGTTGAGAAAAAGCAAAACTAAAGTTAACAGAAAAGCTGTTGGAAAATGATTATAACCATCAGCAACTGGTGAAATACTGCGTTCTTCTGCATTTGCGTTTGAATCTTGCTCTCAATATTTTCAGTTTTGATACGAAATGTAACTTGATGTTGTCTTTTTATCAAAAAGATGAGAAAGGTTTTGAACATTTTTATACCGAGAATAAAAAATACTGGAAACATTTGATGTCCTACCTTGTTTATAATCAATTAAATCGAATATCCGAATATCTGCACTGTTCCAACACCTGTAAGATTTTTTTTTCATATCACAAAAGGGAAAAACAGTTATCGTAATAAAAAGTTTTACACTCTTGTGGTTCTGAAACAAACCAATACATATGTATGTCGAAATGTGTAATTTCAGTGGATTTGATCGGAACATTCCTAGTTTAGATAATTAAGAGGTATCGATGTTTATGAGCTAGACCTAAACGTAAACAGATATGTTTTTGGAGAGAATATATAAATTTTGAGTCCCTGACCAACAACCCGCTGGCAATGAATATTCCAATTAACTCAATTTCGTTAGTACATTACTAATTATAAGCTTACAAGTGCAAAATGTGTACCTAAGTAATGCGAAGGAAACCAAAAGTAAACGAAAAGCGACAGTTGCTAAAAACAAAAATACACCACCAAAAACCAACCAACAAAAAAGTTATACGAACCGGGGACTGGGTAGGGGTTAGTCTTTAGTCATTGGTATATGATTGTAAATCTGGAACTAGTATTATACCATCTACAGGCAAAGCAAAATGCGACAATTGATTACCAATGACATCCTCATGTTAAAGTTTACAGATGTTTGCACTGTGGAACTAGTTACAGTAACCCTGAAAACCGACGAGTTTCCTGTGCCGTACCAGTCCAAATTACTAGCGGTAAACGAGTTGAAAAATTATTATTTTTAATTATTGGTCTGTTCCAGAACTGAAAAAATGTAAAAGTTTTTACTATGATAACCGATTTTTCCTTTATGATATCGAAAAAAAATTGCAAAACTAGGGGATTCTTGCAGGTACTGGAACAGAGCATATGAGAAAGAGATATGCCAAAGATATCAGAACGGCAACGAAGCTGGTTATAGTTCCGATAGTTCATTTCATGGAATAGTTCCTCTGAACTAGTTCGCCTCAGAACATTCAGAACGACCATGGTAGAAGAAGAATTATCCCACCTTGAGAACGACACAACTCGGTTTTTCCATGTCCATCACTCTTGAACTATAACTCCTGATTCCTGTCCTTAGTGTATACGTTAGTCAAATTTTAAATAAGCTGATTGAAAATGCCGCGCGTTTGAGAAGTACTTTAAACTATTCTCTTTTAACCTCATAAAACAATAGAGATAATTCTAGTCAACGAGAAAAACAATCATTCTTTGTAGGCAAAAATACAATAATTCACAATTTACATAACCTACTTAGGCTTATCGTTTTTGATAGTAATAGATTCACTTAGTATTTGTTTATTGCTTGTTAGCTTTAGTTTTGTGTGTAGACTGTTGTGGGCTAGACAAGGCGTCATTCATTGTTCGCCCTTAGATTGTTGCTGGTAGTTGTGACGTTGTGCCATTTAAGTCTTATCTTGTATTTGGTTGAAACTTTCCAAACACCTGTTCGGGGGGAAAGTAGATTCTATATCCTGTGGAATTGCATCAAGAACAGGCTTTGCCCGTATGTTACCATCCTTGGTAGTGACCGAATTGTCCGTCAGTCTCGACCCATTATCCACTTGTTTATTAAATGTCGCCTGGTGCAAAGAGTCTTTGTAGTTGGCAAATTGTTAAATCCGTCTACAGAACAGGCATATCGTTAAACAGACAATACTCGGCGACATTGATTAACTGCAAAGTCCCAATTCAAAACTTGAGTCATACACAAAGAAATTCTAGCAGCTATTTTCACAAGTAAGTGCTTACATAGTTCGCCTGGGTGTACATACATATCGACTAAAACGAGCTTTTCTTTGAATTGTCAAGGTATCAGAGCATAATGGATGCTCCTCCTGAGGTGTTTAAGGGTCTGTTGGACCGATTTAATGGTGTCACCGTGGACTCGCATAAAGAGTTCGAAGATGCAGAAAATTTCCCCGAAAAGCTGGAAAGTAAGTGTATAATCAGTAATTCGATGTATCTGCAACAGGTTGTGTGACGATTCTTATTAATTACAGAATCTTTGCAATATTGGAAGGCGCAAAAACGGCGGGCAATTTGGTTTAGTGTAAAAACAGAACACTCTTCTTGGGTGCCTCATTTGACAAAAGTAAAAGGATAATTATTTCTCGATAATCTTATAAACAAATGGATCATGTTTGGCTAAATGAGGTATTCTTTATTCGTTTTTAGGCTGGTTTTGAATTTCATCATGCCAAGCAGGGATATGTGGTCCTTTTCCGATGGCTGCCCGAGGATGAATATGAAAATATACCCGCCTATGCACACACAATGCTAGGTGTCGGTGGCCTCGTCGTCAACGAAAACAATGAAGTGTTGGTGGTGTGCGAACGTTTTTCTTTAATACCAAACAGTTGGAAATTACCCGGGGGATATGCCGAGCCGCAAGAAAACATAATTGATGCCGCCATAAGAGAAGTGCGCGAAGAAACAGGCATTGAATGCGAATTCAATACCGTAATAAGTTTACGCCATGCCCACGGTGGCATATTTGGGTGTTCCGACATATATTGCGTGGTCGCCTTGACACCCAAGTCATCAGATTTACGTCGATGTGAGCGAGAGATAGCTAAATTACAGTGGATGCCGATTGCAGAATATTTGGAACATCCCAATGTCCATGAAACCAATAGACACTTTATGAGATGCTTCCTGGACTACAAGGAGCGCGGAATACGTTTCACATGTGAGATGGGGAAACATCAAGTATTGAAAAAAGAATACTGTCTGTATTACATGAAGCCCATTGCTAAGGATCAAGACACATCGGAACAGAGAGGAGAATTATAACATTGGCGGGGTAACATTTTTAATCAGGGAATCTAAAATAAGTCTTTATGTATCTGTTTGTATATATATTGTTAAATAAATATATAGTGCAATTATATTGATGTGATTTCGAGTATATCTGCCTTTTCATTGCTTTCTCTTTTGCAAATTGCAATTAGAATGTCGGAAAAATTGGGTCACTTAAACAAGGTGGATTGAAGCGGAAGTTATTAAAAGGGTAATTACAAAAACGGTAATGTAAATATTACGTCAATTGACTCGGGATATATTTTTGCTTTCCCTAAGCGCCTAGAATATATTTGTTCCGTATATGCGCAAAGCGCACGTGTCTATACAGGTATCCAACTTTCTTGTTAGCATTCCCCATTATGATTGTAAACAATAAGATACCAAACACTTTTCATTTTTGTAAACAAATCGAAGAAACTTTGTAAACAAAAAGGCAATTGCACGACCGCATGTCCTTAGAAAGGACGCGAGTGAGAGAGAGTTTTGTACAACTGGGTTTATTTTTGTTTACAACTACTTTTATGAACGTTTGTCTACACAACTCGGAAGGAAATAACTAGTACGTCTCTCGGAGAGACATTGTGCGTAGAGAGAAGAAGCTTTTGGGGAGAGCTAATGCTATTGCAGCAGCATAAATGCCGGCTCTAGACAGTATCCATAGATAAGAAATTTCCCTTATCAACAAAGAGATGCTGTATACACGAATGTATCATTGTTGGGAGACATGAGAAAAAGGAACCACTAGAAAGTTAATCAGCCAATAACGTAGAGAGCAAAGTTCAGCTCAGTTCACATACACAACCAACAGCAGTTGGTATAAAAAGCAAAGTCCTGTGTGTTGTATTAATAGTTTGGAAACTGGAGAAAACAGAAAACTATGCAGGAAGAATTCAGTGTAGGAACCTATCCGAAAAAATATATTTAATAATTTACATACAAGTAGTATTGGGTGGTAATTTGGATCTGAGGAAATATTAGAACAACATTTGCACACATGCTTACTGAAAAATACCAATAACACGGGATATCTTTACAAAAATCTTCACAAAATAAATACTTTCATTAATTTTTCACAAAAAGAATAGAGTATAAGTCGAAATGGAGACATCATATCAAGATTTAAGCGAACTGGAAAAATCGGTAAGTACGTAGGAATTAATTTCTTTTTTTATCGTTGACATTTTAGCTTTAACATTAACATTTGACCTATATAAGAAGTGTAGTAGTTACACCCAATGGTGGCATCATCATGCCATTGACACCGTCCATATCTTTTATTCGGTACGAAAGCGATAACGAATTAGATACTTTATTTATAAAATCTGTTTTTTTTTTAATGAGCTCAAATGGAGAAATTTCATTCATATCATTGTATTTTGATTACAATTTAAGGTGGCTCATGCTGGATCCCAGTTAAATTGCATGGCACATAAACTTCACGAAGTCGAGCAGCGTTGCCTGGATTGCAATAGCTTGGAGGAAATAGATGACACTTGTGTATTAGAGTTGTTGGAGTCAATGTCGGAGGTACACATTTTTAGCGTTCATTCCGTAGAAGTGAAGTGATCTAACGATTGTTCCTATGTTTACAGGTTCGCAATGAATATATAAATCTTCGTAAGGATATACAAGAGGTCCAGCAACTTCAGCGTGACGTCACCACATCAATACGCTTTCAAATGCGGCAAATGCATTTGACATATCAAGTGTTGAAAAAGCGCTTGGAAATCAAAAAGGCCCGAAAGTAGAACTAATGTAGCGCCAGAGAAGGAGTATTTTTTTAAAATTACTTTATGCACTTCGAGTCCCATTCAGATTGCAATAAAAACAAATGGTAAAGGCTGTCTTATTCAAAGTGACCTCTCAATATATCGACATGCATTTCAGAACCCCACTCGCAGCATTTGAATCGATTTGCTAGCATAATTTTACACCTTACACCATCTGTTATTTGATATAAAAAAAACCAAGAAAGAAATGCCTTAACATCATATACGGAGTCTTGAGTTTGGACGAATCTCCAATAACGTGTACACATGTATGAGTGTATGTTTATTTATCAGGTTGTGTTTTTTGGAATATGTCAATGACGAATGAATGGATCTCCTACACTAAGTTGACTTATTTTATAATGTACTCTCAAACGACGTGTATTAGAAAGGTTTTAGTTTAGAAGACCGAGTTTTGTAAGAGTCGTATTTATTCTAAATTACTGTAGGAATTAAATTACATACTTACGATAAGACTTAAGACATATGTATGTATGAATTTATACCTTGTCTTCAATGAGCACTATTTATTAATTATGTTTTTTGTTATATGAATGTAGTTCCCAACATTAACACTCTATTGTTTGTTTGGGCACAAAATTGTAAAATAAAAGCAAGAATATCTTGGAAAACTCATATTATGGCGTTTTTCTACTCAGTGAACTTTCAGGTAAAACGCACATGACTTGGATTTGGATGCAAACGAACAGCTGAATAGAGCAATGGATTAATACTTGCTGTGACTTCTGTGGGAGTGTATTGAAAATAAGCCATGTCTAAAATTAGCAGCTGCCAGCCAATAACAGGTAAAAACTGATACCTAAAGGAGTCTTCTTGTGTTAAACAAATGTAAACTACATTGACAGAGTGCTTGCGTGAATTAATTTTATCGAGTGTAATGCTGTTATGGTGGACCTAGCCTCATCTGGATAAAATCTATTTCCAACAACAACAAAAAATTGTACAAAACCATTTTTTATTTATGTCTTTTTATTACAAAAAAGGGAGAACTAAATTACTGTACACAAGAAATTCACTTTATCTCTTTCGAGCGACAAAAACTTCAAGATGCTTCAAATGACCAAATATTCACCCATTGTACTGTATTTAAAAATGTTATTTTCACTAAGTTTACATGTGTATTTATTTTCAGCTAAGGATATAACATTACAAAATAAATTAATGAAAATTAGTCTTAATGGTTGTTCTGGTAGAAAAATATTCGTTATTCTCTCAAACAAAACAGAAAATGAGTTCATTTTTAACAAGAAAACAAAAGGAAATAATTGATTGGTATTATTTGTATGTATGTAGGTATGAAGAATGTTGTTTGTATTGCAATGCGTATGTCAAACATTTAGGCGTTGCAGCCAATGGTGTCCAATCTTTGAACGCACTTTACTAATCGTATCAAATACTGACATTCTTACGGCCGCGTGATATAGATCCCCTATACAGACGTTATTCCTCCCGGATTGCTGGTGTGGATTTTATCGTCTCGCATTGGATAATCTGCATCATGCATTGGCCATTTAAGGTTTGACATACTGACAATCTTACTCTGGTTTAAATAATGGCATACGTTTGGATATCAAAAGTATACAGTATGATAATGATTCGCCGATGAGTGAGTTCACCGATTTGACCGTTTATATGGTTATTATTACAATATATAGTCATATGTAGTAGTGTATGCTAATAGTCTATGATGTACGATATATTGGGTGCCCGGTAGCTAATCTGATTGTCCTCCTCTTCATCGGAAGAACACAAGTCAATTGTATCGACGATAATTTCCGCCGATGGACACGATGATATTTTCCAGTTTGAACTGCGGCAGTTGTCCCGTGTCAGTTTAATGTTAAGTTTGGTGCTTGGGTTACTCTGTTGCGCTTCGTTTATCTTTTTCAAACGCACCGATATTGGCTTGCAGCGTCTCAGCAGATTTGAGTTGAAGAGTAATACATTTTCGGTTCGTCGCTTTTGAGAGAACTGGCGACGAGGAAATATATATAGATGGGTACTATAATCTTGTGGCTTTTTAAAACTACAATGTGGCGTGGAAGTGGACTGCTTTTTCTCCAAAAACTTGGGTCGTGTCGTCAATTTAGACAATAGTGGCGCCTGGCAGAATCGTTCTATTCGATCCAGGCGTTCGCTGAGATATTCAGGTGTAATGGAAGTTTTTGTTGATCGCAATAGAAGCTGACCGGCAGGCGAAGAAAGGGGAATTGTGGGACAACGCCATACTGAATGCACAGCCCGACTTCGTCGCGATATCCTTTTTTTCTTATCTACAATTTTAAATCGGCTATCCACCTTCAGGTTTTCAGTTGGGGTTCCATTGCATGGCGTTTCTATTTCTTTAGTTGTCTGTACGGGTTCTATTGGATTTTTGGCTGTTCGGCATTGCAGGTTAAAGTTTAGTAAGAATCCGATGCGCTGTTCGTTGTCTTCCAGTGTATTGCTACATTCGGGTTCAGGCTCTGGAGTGTCACAAAGGATGACGTCATCATCGTCCTCTACACTGCAGGTCTTCTCGTGGACCAAAATTGCTTCCTTAGAATAGAGTTCTGCGTCACAATTATCACAAAGATATATGTCAAAGGGGGCAGGTTCCACCATCTGCTGCAACGAGTTTACTGCTGAGAGACCATTTTTCGACTTTTGCTGGAGTAGACACTTCCTGAGCCTCTGCGGCTGGTCGTAGGACATGTTTTCATTGCGAAACGTTACCAATAGTTTGTTGCTCCTGCGATCGAATAGTGACGTCGTGGAATTGTAATTGTTGATGAAGCGAAGGCTTGCGTGTTCATAGGAGGACAAGTCATTGCAAAATCTCAGCAGAAAAACACTTTTGTGGAATTGGTAACATATCAGAACTACTTCTTTCAATTTCCCAACCCAATTGCCGTGAAATGTCTTCGGCTTCCGTAGTGGAATACAAAACGGCAAGTCTTCGGGCCACCATTCTGGTTCGCTGCACTCCACCTGACCTTGCAAATTGATGTGGCCCAAGGAACATTGCACCATAAATGGTATAAATTTTTCTAACTGAGACTCTGTGATTTTATCCAATGATGTCGGGTAGCCGTTTGCAAAAAGCAGCGGCAAGTTCGATATCATATTGTTCTGTTGGATCTCCTCCCGCTCGTCCATTTGTTGGCTCTCTGTAGTTTCTTGTGATGAGTACAGCAAAAGATGTGTATTGTTTTGGAGAAATCACTATATCACGTTGTCGTGAAGCACAGTCGAATGATACGCACAGCCAGCAACGGTCAGATTCTGGAAAGGAAAATTGCATCAGTTCAACACCGCCAACTTTATCATACGGAGCAATGATATACTAAATATCTACGAGTAATTACTTAATTTTTGGGGGTATTTAGAGACAAAATGATAATAACGATTCCTTTTTCCTGTCTCTCACTTTGTTAGATAACCTCAATGTTCACCGGACTAAATCACTTACAATTACAACAAATACAAAAACAACCGAACATCTCATGTTAACCATGGAAAACACAGAATATGCTATTTTAGAAATAGAAATTATTGAACTGCCAAATTAATAGCTAATCTTTATCACAATGTTCCTAAATCAAGGAACGCCCTTATTTCCACATTCTTTCCAAACTTTATTTTTTGGAATACGGAATATACTAAATATTTTTTTATGATGAACCAACGAGCTGTGGGAATTAGAAGAAATTTTTTTGCAACTTATGCCTTGTGATTGATTCTATTGTATGTACGGCTCCCATCTTGCTGTAAGTCATTCCTAATAAATAATGTCCAAAACTAATCTTCCACTGATGATGCTGCCGCCTACTCCTCTTACGTACAAGGCGCAAAATGTTGTGGTGGCAAAAATCCAACAGATCCTGGAAATTGCAGTTTAAAAGAGTGCATCGCGAAATAAATTACATTTCAGTTACTGCTCCTTTACGGGTTTTGTTTTGTAGAGAACTAAATGTACATGAACAGCGAAGTCTCCGAGACGGGCCGTACCAAATTAGCTAATCAATCGAGGACGTGCGGAAATAAATCAACAGAAAATTACGAACATTCCGTCAAACATATTTCTATTTTCATGTTTTTTTTTCTAAAAAAAATTTATATTTTTTTGTTAATGAGTGCTTAGTGCTCGATAGTTTCTGCTTAACTCGTAGCCGAAAATGTAATCGACCACCGATTAATCGATATGGTTTTCACGCACGATAGACACTAATAAGGCAGATGTAATGGGTAGCCCATCGATCCAGCTGACTGGAAAATAGGTGAAGCAATATTAAAATATAATAAAAATAATTAATTTAGATGGAACAGTTTAATATAAAGTTCACACGGCCGTTCTTTGTTGTGACGAATTGCTCATGCGATTTCCTGTTTAGTCTGACTAGGAGACATGGTAGAAGAATACAAGTAGTCACCTGAACACGGCTGGGAAAATTAAATGTCCAAATCCAACCAAAATCAATCTTTCGGGATATTATCCGCAAAATAATGGGCAGTTGTAATATTCAAGTATAAATCTATCATTCATTTTTTGTCACTGTTTACTAGACAGCCGATGCAGTGTTTTAAGAAAACAAGGAAAACGATATAGTAGGTAATGTGAATGCAAAGCTGTATTATATATTATGGTATATTTTCTGAAATATACAAAGCCTGGTAATGAGTTTGGTGAGATGCGGCAAATGGAGTAACTATTGTTTACGCCTTGCTTGGTATAAATTTATTTGGCACAATAAAAAGGTGTAGTACAGCTTACCGCCGATTACAATTTTACCTACCTTTTTGAATACTCATTTGGCAATAATCGATAATCGACAATCGTCTTATGTATCGCTAATAATCAGTGCAAAAAATTTTCTTTTTTGCTTCAAACAAATTTTCTTCAATCCTATTCTTGTTTGTCTGGTGGAATCTTCTTTGTGGATTTGTGAAATAGCTGGCTTGGGTCTGTTCAGAAGCTGAAAGTTTGCAGTTTTGTTATTTCCGAAAATAAATTCCCTTAATTTGTCGGCTTTCTTTTGTTTTTGATTTAATCAACCGATTGCAGCAAAAACGGCAAGTTTTAGGAGCGTCGAATAAAAAAGGAGGCTACTGAAAGTGTCTGTCGGTCTCTATACTTAAACTCTAGGCACAAGGGAAGCTTGAAAAAATTAAATTAAACTATTCCTTTGCCATCAACGTCTAATCCATCCATCATGGTTACTATGGAAAATGCAGAAGAGGTCATGCAAATTTTGGACCGTTTCACGCGACTCAAACAGAAGGAAATCCCAAAAGAACTGGATGAATATCTGGGTTATGTGGCCAAAACCGGAGACACGGTCTTCAAGTGGTCTTCATTGAAATATCTGTTCCGTGAGAAACTCTTAAATGTTATAAAAAATTTTCACGACTCCACGCCGAGGATTGACGGTAAGTTGACGCATGTAAAAACCTATGTACATACATATGTGTAGGTACACAATTTAGAGCTCGTTGAACCGGCTTTTGTGCATTGCACTACGACTCCTTTGAGTATGAAATCGGTTCAAGAGCTTTCACTTTAATCTGTAGAAGAAATCTGAAAAAAATTCCTGCGATAAAAAATTGGTTTGGGGTAGAAAAACGTTCAATGCTCTAAAACAAGAATTTACCAGTTATTAACAATGATTCTAATGGGGGACCAACAACTAGCTAAGCTTCTTGAACAATTTCTGCCGCAAAAACAATGTTATAGCTAAAGCCAATTTTCTTTGGTTCGTTTGCTTTTCTATAAAAAGCAACAACTCATCGTAAAAACACGCGCAGAAACTCCAAGTATTTAAACAATAAAGCCCGGCTCTAGCATACTCACCATAGTCGCTAAAACGGAACATAAACCCATTTAAAGTCTAAATGATCGCTAGTCAATTTAGTTTGTTTGTCTTGTGTTGCCCAAGACATTACCCTTCCCTTTAGTGTTTGGAGTGTTGGTATGTTTGTTCGCTAATAGCCGAAGACAAAAGCTAAGTGCATGTGTGTATGTATGTATTTATTTTGCCGGCATTGGTTTTAATGGTATTTTGTTGTCTCCTCTTAATTCATTTAAGCTAGAGAAATAAAATGAAAAATGTATGTATTTTCATGTACACGTGCGGAACTCAAGCATTTCTTTAACATTCTTCACAGAAATTCCCCAGTACCCCAACGTTGACCCATTCAATTATGAGAGCATGAAGTCATCTCTGCTGGAGCGCCTAGAATTGTTCAATGCAGCACCTTTCACCATACAACGTCTATGCGAGCTCTTGATAGATCCCCGGAAGCAATACAGCCGCATTGACAAGTTTATGCGTGCTCTGGAGAAAAACATTCTTGGTAAGCATATGTAACATTTGTCCGTGAACCAGCGATGCTTTCAGATGCAATTTATTTCGATTGAAGCATTTTTGGTTAATGTTTTATTCTCTGGTATTTTGTATTCATTAAATATTTTCAGTAGTCAGTACCGTCGAACCTGGACGCAAGAGAACCGAATCTGAAAATGGAGACTCTTTGGACTCGGTGGTTAATGGCGACCTTTCTTTGGATGTAAATGTCGACATTGAAATGGAATCCGATGGCCTATTTAATAACTCGGAAAATACAAATGGCAATGGAACTGCAACAAAAGCTGAGGTTGAAGCAGCCAAGGAAGATGTCAAGACAGAGGAAGCAGAAAAATGTGTTACAAAGAATACTCATGCTAATGACGATGATAACTTACCAAACCCTAAGAAAGCCAAACTGGACTTGCCCGAAGATTCCAAAGACGACATGGAGGAATCAAACAAAACTGATGAGTCCGTGACGAAGGAAAGTACCGAAGAAAAGAAAATGAAAAGCGACGACGATAAAACAACTGAATCTACAATCGTTAAAGAACAAGAACCAAAAACGAGTTCAGAATCCGACAATGAATCCGAAAAAGGAACATCAGAAACACACGAAGAAAAAGCCGAAGATGAAAAAGTAACCGTAAAAACAGAAGAGCCCGAAAGAGTCGCTAACAAAGATGAGACAGATAGTGACCACACATGTTCTAAAATCGAGACGAATAAAGCAGAAACTGAAAATAATTCTGAAAAAGAAGAAATAAAAGAAGTTAGCGAAAAGTTGGAGTCATCAGAAGAAAATAAAAAATCGCAAGACGATAGCAAGAACTCTGCAAGTGAAGCTGTCATTGAAGAGATTTCTGGAGAAGAAACAGAAAAAGACAATTCGCGGGTCGTCGAAACGCAGATTGCAAAGGAGGAAGAAAGTAAGAATAATCAGAAACAAAAAGAGGAAGATGCAAATGTGGTGGAAAAACAGGAGGTAGAGATCGGGGAAAAAGATCAGCCTAAGCAGGTAGACCAGTTGCCAGAAAAAGGGGAAGAAACAAATGTTACAACTAAAGAAAACGACCAAGCCGAACAAAAGACAGCGGATGAAGCAACAGAAGAAAAGGCGATAGAAACAGCCACTGCAGAAAAAGAGAAGATTATTGAAAAATTGGAGGAAACGGCACAGGAAGTGGATTCTGAAAAGAAAGCAGAAGAATGTAGTCAACAGAAAACTGATTTGACACAGACCAAGACTGAAGATGTAAAGACTGATATTTCGGCCAATGCCAGTGTGGAACAAAATACAGAGTCTGATGCAGCCATTTGCAGTACCACCGAAGTAGCAATCGAGAAGAAAGATAATGCTGACGAAGTGGCCGCACCAACATCAGAAACATCAGAGGTTGTGCCCACCACTGAGGAGAAACTAACAGCGGCTGTATCGGAGACGAAAGCAGAGTCTATAACAACACCAACACTTGCCCTAAACGACCAACCAATGGAAGATGCCGCCATAGAAGAGGAGCCTCCATCTGTTGACGAAGTTGTAATGGACGAAGCACCAGCTACGGAAGTCTCGACTGCAGCTGCCATGGCTACCGAAGAAGAGCCATCATCCACTCCATTAGCCAAACCCGAAGAAGAATCTTCTGGTATGGAAGTTGACGACACAAGCCAGGAGGCAATGGACCAGTAATCAGTTGAAACTCCAACAACCAGCATTCACATTTCAGAAACTATATTTAAAAAATAGACTAGAAACGCTATGAGCGTTAAATAGTAACCTTAAGCAAATACGACACAGTAGATCAACAAGGAGAACTTTGGAATTGAAAAACAAGGGGTTTCTTCTTGTTTAACAAATTTATAGTTTTGTGTTAATTCCACGCGACAAAAATTCCTTTTTACAATCTCTGAAAAATCTCAGCATTCGGACTAAGTATTACTGCTATAATAGTTTTTTATGTCGAATTTGTAACCCTCTTGTTTGGACGTCATGCTGTAGATTTGTTTTGTGTTTATTTATACGACAACTACAAGTGAAACATAATCTAGTGCATAATTTGTAACAAACAAGAGTAATAATAAACATACACACAATTGATAAACATATTACACCAAAAGTATTTTCCTTCTGGCATTTTAGTTAGGAAACCGTTTACAATGGTTAACTTGATTCAAGGTAAAAAAGTTTCAATGTTTAGACGTAGAAATCATATTTTGCATTCTTGAGGGAGACCTTTTTTACTATTTTCAAATATTTGAAGTATAGTTGAAGATTTGCAGTTCCTAAAAATGCTTATCTACATTCTTCTAGCATGGAAATGAATAAGACTTTCTTCACATTTTATACAATATACATTTTATAATTTATTTTATATGATAAATAAACAAATTTTAATACAATAATAAACTAGAAAGACCTTAGATTTAACAACTCGTACATACAAACATTTTCATGTGGGCTGCTGCTGCATAGACTGAGAAAAACTTTGATGTTGCTTTCATTAAATTTTAACAAAACAATAAACAGAAAAAGAGAAACATTCATACATAATTCTAAAACATAAAAGTAGCAACTGCTCTGCTTAAAATTAGGCTAATAGGATAGAAGGATGGAAAGCAATTGTGTTCAGCTCCAGGCTTGAACTTTTTAGTTATTACTGAGATACATGTGTATTAGTTTCCCCTTTGGCCCTTTCCTTCAGTGGACACAAGGGTAAGCATTTAAACTATTCAACCCAAGAATCATTGCACTCTTCCTCAGATTCCAGCCCTCTCCAGTGCCGACAATTGTTGTCCCAATCGCTCCTCTTTTGCCTTTCGCTCTGAGCTAAGTTTCTTCGAGTGTGTGTAGTTTTGCAAAAAGGTCTGTACATCGATTTTGCCATTTAAGAATTGCTCAACATGCCGCTCACATTCAGTGTCAGCATTTGAAGCGGCAATCTGTAATAGCTCTCTGATGTGCTGAGGATTGTATTCCTCAGTCTTTTTCAAATACTTCTTGTTTAGTTCATCGCACTTTTCCCCCAAATGTTTTAAGGTTGTCACATCATCGCTTAACTTGCGTTTGAGCTCGACAAGGTGCGTTTCTTTGGACTCGTTTTCTTTTGAAATGTTCTCAACTTGATTTATCATCGAGTCTAGTTCTTCGTTGAGTTGCTGAACAACGGACATCTCCTCGATAAAGTCGTCGAAAAACTCCGGATCATTATCTAGTTGTTTCAGCTCGTCCAACGAAAGTGTGGACAAGTTGGGAAAACTTGTATCATTAAGCCGGGGAGATGACAACTTGATCGGATCGTGGGGTGAAGTTTCTTTGCTGCTGTTGGCACTGTTGGAAGCACCGCTACTAGTACCGCTGTCTAGAGATTTGGCCATTTGCAAGGGAGGATAATGATGAGAGTGGGGAACATTTACTTGTGCTGAATTGGCGCTGTTGGCTGGATTTGGACTTTGCGATTTAATAACTTGTGGCGGAAAGCGTTCGAATTCTCGTATGACAGCCTGGACGACACGTCCTAAATCGGAATGTGGCGAATACTAAACAAAAACAAAACGAACATGTATTTCAAATTATATATTTAACAAAATAGTAATTGTACACATGTAAAATTATTTATCCTGGGAAATGAAATACACTGACATCATGGTCAATTTCCCAACAAGTTTAAGGTCATAGATAACGTCATTGTGATTATTCAAAGCTTAGTTTCCTTGAACCTTCGCAACTCAAGGATGCCTTCTTGTGCAATTTTAAAAGTCACAACAAAAAATGAATACAGGAAACGGTACTAATGTCCTCCAAGGACACAGCGGAACGAATTTCACATACCTTTAAAAATACAGCACATGTTATTACTCACATTTACTAGACCTGGAGCTGATTCGATTTCTCCTGTCGCTGGATTCACCCAGTGATGCTGGATAATGGGAGAAATGATCAGTTTGGGGCGTTCGTTAGGAAAATTCAAGCCCAACAAAACAGTCAGCATAAAATTGCGACCACCCGACTCAAAATGAACGCAAAATTCCGCCAGCTCTGAGACTTCAACGACACTGTAAAATAATAGTCAAAGATTATTTTGTTTCAAAATACAATCGCGCGGGTGCGAAACTTACTTGTCGTTAAATATTTTCAGAGTATCAATTTGACGTCGAATTTGATGCAAACGATGTTGAAATGCCATTTTCTTGAAATAAACAAAAAAACATTAATTCACTCTCTGGTGTCTGTTTTTGCATCGACGATTATCGATTATCGACTTTTAAGTTCAGCAGTCAGCTGGACGTCAACACAGTACAATTCAGCTACTACTAACTACATTCATGGTAGATGTAGTAGAATACAGGTAGTCACATCAACACAGCTGCTGGGACAATAAACTGTCAACCCAATTTTTATATGGACAATTTTGAATGAAATTTTATTTAAATTCTTAAATAATGTTGAAAATGGATATCATAAAAACCTCCGATTGTCGTCGTATAAGAAAGCAAGAAAAAAACATTCTAAAAATGTTGACATATCAATGTTCCCAAGCGTTGATGCATCTACCTATATGATGATTCTTAGGGTGATAAATAAAAAAAATATAAAAAAAAATATCTAACGCGGGCGTAAACGTTTATAAAAATATATGCAAAATAAATCAAATTCTAAATATATTCTTCAAGACATAAGAAGATGTTATGATATGTGTTTTTCATGAATATTGTCATTGTCAAACAAATTAGGAAATATATGCAAAAATAAATTAAATATATTCTTATACCTACAGGGCCGTTCAAATGATGCTATAACATGTGTGTTGTAACAAATTGAAATCTTTTTCAAAATTTAAAATAGTATGTTTTAACATTTCTTGTTCCACCAGGCTAGCTGTATTATTTTATCAAGGGTTGTATAGTTCTACGAAGTTGAGAACTGGCCGCTTTTCAATCTGCTGAGCCCTATTGGATGGCCACTTTTCGACGTCTTGAACCCTGCACAGACGGTTCTTTCATTGTTTTGCGTGGAGTCGACTTGGTGGTTATTTATATAATAAATTAAATAATTAAGCCGGGAATCATGTCCCTATTTCAAATGAAATGGCTTAGGCGGTTGGTGAGACAGAACACAAAGCCAATACCAGAGCTGGAGGCTGCCCTGTGGAAGCGTCGCCTGAGTGTGGTGTATGCACTGCTGGCCTGGAATGCCTTTGGATTTGTTTGTTACATGGCGTTCAGTGGAAAGAGTGATTGGGCTCACTATCATGGATTGAAAAGCGACGAAGAAAAGGAAGAATCACAGGCGGTTCAATTTAGTAAACGCCTAAATGTTGAAAAGGGGAAAATTATACGGTATTCTGGTTTTAAGAAGGTAGAGGAGCTGGAATTCGACAATACAAAAGATAAATGAGCCCTTGGTTATAAATCGATGTAGTTTTGTTTCAATAAATACGAGGTATATTTACCATAAACGGAAATTTGGATTGGAACTGTTATTACCGAGCGTAAAACCACCAGTACTCTTCCCTATAGACCGGACCTGCATTTCAAAGAATGCACAGGTCATTCTCTTGGCGAATGCTCGTCATAGAACACAGTATGCTTTACCCTCAAGCAAATAGCACATTCGATTCCAACCGATATAACGATACGAGCTACAAAACTAAATAAAAGACCATATTCCTTACTTTCGATGAAAAAAATAAGACTTTTCATTTCAATAGCAATACTGCATCATTACTCTATTCCAGAACTGCAAGAATTTATAACTTATTACTGCTATTATTTATTTACCCTCCTTGATATCGAAGAAAATTGCAAAACTGTTGCGTCGCCACCTTCAAAAGCATCCATTGGTTGATATACAAATACCGCTTAATATATTGTTGGATGATTTTACATGAGGTAGTATGTGATGGAAACCATTTATACTCGTAGCGGCATACGTCGATTTGCTACATCTCAAATTTGAGCAAACATTTTATTGGGATTTTGACTGGATTTTGAAAATGCACACAAAAGAACTCTCTATGAGAAGTTAAAGTATAACAATTTGATTTAAAGCAGAAAAAACGTGGAATGCTATTTGACAATGGACAGACTATAGTCTATTTCAAGGTTTATTTTAATTAGATATCCTTTTTTTGATTACAGTATGCATTTTTGATTCCCTTAACATTGGTTCAAGGCATAATACTGGGTGTAGTTAATAACATGGTATGCCCCAGCTTTGCAAGAATGTAAAAGTTATTACTACAATAACCGATTTTCCCTTTATGATATCGAAAAAATGCAAAACTTGTAGATTCTTGCTGATTTTCAAACAGAGCATATACAAGAAAATTGGACTGATCTTAAGCCTATTGGAGTAGTTTTCTGAACAATATATTCAATTGGAGCAAGATATTGCTAGATCTCGACAATACATTGTATTCTAGACGAAAGGCCTTCTTCTTCTTCAAATGCGTAAAAAAATCAACTCAGTACCAGTGAAGGTGGTGACTTCCAAAAGGATTCACAAGAAGAATATAGTGCAGCCAATATTTTAGAACAAGGTGAACGTATGCAGTCTACTTCAAATGCAGGGAGAGTGAGGGTAAAGGTTCTTAAATCCTTTATTCCTATAACATAAATTCTGAAATGAAAATAGGGACACTATAATGAACGTATGCCTTCCACGTCAAATGCAGGGGGAGTGAGGGTAACGTTTCTTAAACCCTTCATTTCTATAACATAAAATCTGAAATGAAAATAGAGGCACCATATTTGGTTGGAAAGGAATCAATGTTTTTAGATTCTTACCATGATCCATCTGATTTTATAATCAACAATAATTTTTTTAAAAAACAATAATAAAAAAAAGCAAGTATCATACACTTTCATTTTTTGACATTTATTGTCAGAATTCAGTTTAAATTTGCTGACAATTACCGCAAGAACGTAAAAGTTTTTACTCCGATAACCGATTTTTCTTTAATGATATCGAACACAAATTGCAAAACTAGTAGATTCTTTTTTTTTACAAATTTAAATAATTTTTCATTCAACATTTTCAATTCCAAAATTGGTTTGACAGTTCATTGTCCCAGCGGCTGTGTCGATGCGTCTATCTACTAATATTTTTCTACCATGCTCTGGAGCAAACCAAATATTACCAATTTAATACACCTTGCCTTGGTCTATATCTGTTTCAATTTACGAACTAAACAAAATGAAATAGTACGGAGGTGTGTAAATGCTGTGTTACAAAGCGAGGCGCGCAAATTATCTGTCAAACATTGCGGGTTATCAGTTCACTGTGCGTTTCGTACGTTTGTTGGTGCACGCCATAAACAAATTGAATTTATCTTGGAATTAAATTGTAAATATTAAGAATAAAAATTGTCACAAATGGATAAGTGCTACCTCTGCAAATCAAAAAAAGTTGACGATATACAATATGGAGAATTCTTGAGAAATGCAGAAATGGGATTTGGGGTTCATACATTTTGCCTGGTAATATACGAATTGCAAATGCTGTGGAATTTTAGTGTTAATTCGTAGCTATTCATTTTAGTATTTATCCTCAAACCTAACACAAAATGGACAGGATGATGAAGGCTACTTGGGGTTCTTGAAGGCAGACATCAAAGACGAGGAAAGACGTGTCTCCCATTTGGTAAGTAAGAAGAAGGTCGCGTAGGCAATAGTTGAAATAGTTGATTGTGGTGTTTATTATTTAGAGGTGCTGCTATTGTCGCGAAAAATATGCGAATATTGGTTGCTGTGAAAAACGATGTCACAGGGCTTTTCATCTGATTTGTGGTATGGAAAATGGGGCAGAAAACCAGTTCTGCCAGTCCTTCAGATCTTATTGCCATGGACATAGGCGTAAAGGACCTAAAATTCCTGAAGCGGAGACTACGTGCACAATTTGCTATGAAAAGCTACTCGAGCCTAATACGAATAACAAGAAATGGAGAATTGTGCAAAGTCCCTGTTGCCGTAACGGCTGGTTTCACAAACTGTGTCTACAAAAATTCGCTAAGACTGCGGGTTATTTTTTCAAATGTCCACTCTGCAATGATGCCAAAGTGTTTCGTCAGAAGCTGCCAGCTCAAGGAATATTCATTCCCAATCAGTAAGTATCAGGCCGTCAACCATCTAATGTTGTTCTTTATCAAATTTAAATGTATTAATTCGCAGAGACGCTGCTTGGGAATTGGAACCAAATGCATTTGTCGAACTTTTGGAGCGCCCCAGTGAATGTGCCGCCACAGTATGTGAAAATAAAAATGGGCGCAACTACACATCCCATGCAAATCCGTTAATACTATGTGGCACGTGTGGTTCTACAGCCATGCACAAGCGGTGTCTACCCCAACCCAATAAGGGCCGTTTTTACTGTGCAGATTGCACCATTGCTTTTCATCAACATGACCGAGATGATGAAAATGACGATGAAGCCGAAGAAATAGATGTTTGCCATGTTAGCGACAATGAGGATTTGAATATGGTTCAAAGGCTCTTTGGCCACGATGAAAAGGCAGTGCATGGGGATGATGACGATTTTTCGGATGCTGGAATAAGGATATCCCATCCCCACAGGTCTAGAATTTTAAGTAGCGATAGCAGCAAAAGCGATCTGCCCTCGCCGCGAGCATTCACAGCCAGTTTTAAGGATGAAAGGCTCGATCGTGACGATAACACACAATGCGATCGAGCACTGCAAAGGGATGATGACGATATTTCTGATGTTGGAATAAAGATATCCCATCCTCGAAGGTCCAGAATTTTAAGTAGCGATAGCAGTAAAAGCGATACGCCCACGCCACAAACGTACACTCAGAGTTCCAAGTACGAAGAAAGCTCTGCTGCAAACAAGAAAATTGATACATGCTTTTTGTGTAAATCATCGAATAAGGACGACATCCAATATGGGGATTTCTTACGTAGTGAAGAGATGGAAATGGGAGTACACACATTTTGTTTGGTAGGTTGTTTTGTCATTGTGTACTTGGAACGTTGAATAATTCGGGGTTCTATGTACGGTCATTGTTTTAGTATTTATCTTCAAATCTGACACAGAATGGTACGGATGAAGAAGGTTTCCTTGGGTTTTTGATAGATGATATCAAAAAGGAAGAGATCCGCATTTCCCACCTGGTAAATAAGTTAAATAGTTTTTTGAGACAGCAATTGAAAATATTTCCGCCTTTTGAAAACTTTTTCAGAAATGTTTCTATTGTCGAAAAAAATATGCAAATATTGGTTGTTGTGAGAAAAAATGCCGTCGAACATTCCATTTAATTTGCGGCATTGAGAATAATGCCCAAAATCAATTCTGCAACTCTTTTAAGTCCTACTGTTTTAACCATAGACGCAGAAGAATCGGCAAGCCACCACCCACTGCCACATGTTCCATCTGTTATGACTTATTGGGCACTAAAAAATGGGGGCTTGTTAAAAGTCCATGTTGTTTTAATGGCTGGTTTCATAAATTTTGTCTTCAGAAATTTGCCAAGACCGCAGGGTATTTCTTCAAATGTCCACTCTGCAATGATGCTAAGACCTTTCGACAGAAACTACCGGCACTCGGTATATTTATTCCAAACCAGTAAGTAAACCTTTTGATATAATACTGTCATTGCCCAAAGGGTGCCAAAGAGACTTTTTCCCTTTCTAGAGATGCGGCCTGGGAATTGGAACCAAACGCATTTGCTGAACTTTTGGAACGTCCCAATGAATGCTCAGCAATTGAGTGCGAAAATAGAGAAGGACGAAGACATTCATCAGCAGCTAATCCGCTTTTGTTGTGTAGGACTTGTGGTTCTACGGCAGTTCATAAGAAATGTCTACCGAAATCGGATAAAAACAGATTTCATTGCAAGGACTGCACAATCGCCATGGTTGAAGAAGAGGAGGACAGTGGCAGGTACAGTTTGAATTCCGAAACAAATGGTAGTGACAATAAGTTAGGTAATGCGAGTTATCACGAAAACATGGCGGTTATCAACGGATTGATGGGAGATGATGAAAATTCCTCGGATGATGAAATAAAGACACAGCGACGTTATAAAAACAGGTTGTGGAGTGTAGATTCACAAGCTCAGGCTGGAAGTAATAACAAAAAGCGCCGCCACAAACGGCCGAGTACCATATATTCAACAGACGATGATGATGATGAAGTAGAGATAATATGTGACAAAGCAAATCCATGTCAATCACACGAAAGTTTGGAAAGTCTCGTTCCCGTGAAGAATGAAACTAACCCTGGTGGAAACAACAGCGGCAAGGAAAAGTTATTACGTTGGGGTCGCATCATAACAGATTCCAGTGACGACGAAGTGACGGTGGAAGTTATGCCGGCAGAACAGGACAAATCCAACAAAACACTGAATAGCAAAACAGCGCCGGCAAAGCCGATCAAAAATGACGAGGAATATGTACCGAAAAAATTACCTAAAATAATCAATGACGGGATGAAAACGAGCTCAAGTGCTACATTATTAGTGTCATTTGAGGAAGTGCACAAAGAAAATCCTAACAGAAGCCACAATAAAATAAGGAGAGTAATAAGAAGTGACGAAGAAGACGATGATGTGAAGAAAGATCATATGAAGTCAGTCAACATTGACACAGAATGTTCATCAAATGTTGAAGCATCATATAAAGATAGTGTTGGGAATTGCAATAACAGGAGTTCCGTACGTGACTTCAAAACCTTTACACCAATTGATGGTAGTAGTGATGATGATATCGATATCCACAATTCCAAGAATTCGAAACTCAAAACAATGCAAGAAATCCGTGAGATAAGTACTGAAGAAAAATCTGACGAAGATGATGATCCGTTAGAGAACTTTACAAAACTTGTCGAGAGACAAAAGGATATTAGTTGCATCGCTCAAAGGACCAGAACAAGAGTAACTAATCGAAGCTATCCAGAGGAGTATTCCAAAAAAGCAAACAAGGCTTTAAAGACACGAAAGACTATTACATTTCAAAATCAAAAGCAAGAATCTTCTACCAAACATGATAATTTGGACGTATCTTGCATTGCGAGAAGGACTCGGCGTAAAAGCACGGCATCTGAGCATGTTAATTCGAAAGATAGATATTCAGGTTTGTCTGCGAGTAAACAGTTGAATGCCCCTTGTGTTACTATTAGAACACTCGGCAGGCGGAAAACGGTGTGTTCCGAAACGGTAACAGAAAAGAAAAGACGGGAAACTCAAGAAATACACGTTGGAAAGTCGTCTAGTTCGGAAACTATTGAATCATGCCATTCTTATGAAATATCTGCAGTGTATGACAAAAAAGATCAAACCGAAGAAGAAAGTGAGGATTGCGAAAACGACAGACAAAACGATGGCAAACTCAGCCCCTTTGAGTTGTCTTGCATTGCGAAACGGACAAGAAGACGTAAATCTTCATCTCAAACCGAGGACAAAATTCCGACTTCTTCTTACTCTTTGGCTTTGTCAAATCGATACAATCACGCCTGGCCCAGGCAAAATGAACTTGTGGCATTTTCTAAATTGAGAAACAAACAAAATTATTATCCAAGTAATAATCATCATCCCCATGTTAATAATCGCAAAAGAAACTAATTTTTGTTTTTTCTTTCACATCAATTTGGTTTTCAACAACAATATATACCCTCATATATATATGAAGAAGACAGTTATACTAAATAAGTTTTATACCGTGTATAAAGTGATGTTGAGCCCTAAATGGGCACCCCTTTTTGTAGTTGTAGTTTTATACTCTTACATATAAGTTCAATAGAAATTCCATTATTGTGACTCTATGATAGATTATTGTAAACAATGTTATTTACTTTGAATACCGGAACAATTTATAATATACCTCTAGTTCATACTGTTGTAATATAAAAATTATGTATTTTTTTCGTTGTGTATTACCTTTTATTTTTATAAATAAAGTAAGCCATTCGCATTTATTATCATCTTGCAAAAATAAGCATAGATTTAGTTATAGCGACTGGGTTTTATTGGGCTACGTTTACATTGGAGTTATTTGCCACGATCTGTTACATATTGAACATGGTAGAAGAATACCGGTAGATGCATTACCGCTTGGGAACATTGATGTCAAAATGTTTTAAATGTTTCTTCAAAAATAAGTAGATTTATATATGTGTTCCTATACGACGACGATCGGAGGTTGTCCGAATATACATTTTTTTAACAATTTTTACAAATTTGAATAATTTTTCATTCAAAAATGTCGATTTCAAAATTGGTTTGACAGTTCATTGTCCAGCGTCGTGAGTCGAAGCGTTTACCTATATTCTTCTACCATGATTTTGAACGTATGTTTTTATACATTTAATGCATGTGAATATTTACAAGGCACTTAGTAAAATTCAAATAAAAATAATCAACATCCCAGCAGCCTTCAAAAACACGCAAACTATTCTGTGGTCCTGTCCACCATCCACAAGCGGTAGTGTGTTTTGCGCCATACACAATTCTTTGAGAACGCATAAACACTCATTGCAATTTCTTGCAAGCTAAGAGTATGTTTACACTAATATACGGAATGGATTACAACTGCCAGTACGTATAATGTAATCGACTCTCAAATCCAGTGGACACTCCAAACGATTGTTATGTGTGTAAGGGCGTTTTTCATCAAATGTCACCTGAAAAATCAAACATTAATGTAAAAAAGACGAACAGGGCATATCAAACGCATTTCCAACTGGCTTTAGTCATCGGCTGACTTTTTCGTAAAAGAACAAAGGAGCTTTAGGTTAAGTTAGTTCAATTTCGGGCCATAATTTATACTTGATAACCCTACGAGTGTTTGTTCGTTAAAAACAAAGAAGCCAGTCGATCACTTAAGCGAGTCAAAAATTGATTTATGTATTCAACTTGTTGTAATATTATACTTTGGGTAAGACTTGCACAGAACATCTGTCAAATAAATCCCCATAACTCGGCGAAACGTTAATTTATTAATTCCATAAACGATAATTTTTCCCATATAATATAGAAAAATAATGGAAAACTACTAGAATCCAGCAGGTTCTCAAAACAAAGCAAATATCTGTCTTGTGCGAAATTGAAAAGTCGACCAAAAATCAAAAATCCCAATATCGATAACGAAAAGTCGTTTTTGTCATTTTCACCACAGACAAAAGTAGACATCGACTTTCAGGCTTTTCAACACCAAAAGTCGATTAATCGAGTGTCGACTTACGCATCCCTTTTTGACATTCAGTTCCGAATGAAACTTCGTAATGAAAACAACGGTCGTGTTCCGTAACGGTGATCAAATAATAAAAGAAAATAAACTAATATCAGAGTAAAGTTTCAAATATTCTTGCACATTGGAATCCAAGTGAAAGGAAAACGTAAAGAAAACACAAAAAAAGAAAATAGAAAAGAATATTGACCCGAATACATTCATATGTTTCTAGAAAAATTACAAAATACTTGCAAGCAGCTGTTGAAAAGCGTTTCAGTTGTGTTTTAAGCCTTAAGTCGAGCAATAATTTCTTCTTGTGGTTTGTCTGTTTGTTTGTTTGTATGAGCTGGAATTGTGTGTGTGTGTGAGTGAGAAATAAGGTTATCAGTTCAAGAAAAACCAAAAAAGAGATTGAATATTGATATTTGTTCCAACACAAACTACAAACACAAGACTGGAGCTGGAGCTGAAAACCGGATTTATTACGGGGTAAGCATCGCATCTTGAAACTCATTGTCTTCATAATTATCTTTATTTTTGGAGGCCAGACAAAAAGAAAAAGGGGGAAATTGCTTTGCAAGAAATTTGGAAAAAAAAATCCCACCATCAACATGCAGTTGGCAGTCAGCTCCAAACTCGGTACAACAACAAGTGTTGATGGCATGGAATTAAAATACATGGGGGTACCCCACATCCCCTCTGACCGCACCAAAGTTAACAGGCACTCATGTTGTTGTTTAGCTGTCGTTTCTCGACTGTCAAAACGACCACAACGAACCAAATAAGAGTTCGCTTCAAAAGTAAAGCATCTGAACAATGACTAATAGACCGACCCCCACCAAACAGAGTCAACATAGAGTGCAAATAGCATTTCGTGTGGACGTCGTGCAGTTAGTTGCCCACCAATGAGGAAATATTATTGTGGCCAAATAGTTTACTTTTCTGGAAAACTCGAAACAGAGATAATCGATTGATCTGCGTTCAAAACAAAAAAATAGGACAGCTGATTTGTGCAAAGACAAACAATACCTACGTCCTTTTAAAGTCGAATTTCAACTCACCCACACAACGGCATTATGCAAGAAGTCGTTGCGGGCTGAAATGCACGTCCTAGGCGCCCACTTCGCCGCTAAAACATGCCGAGTATTTACAAGAACTTGGGCAAGAATTTGGCTTAACTCAACAACTATTTTAATCAAATCTCCTAGCTTGCATTCTCTGCTTCTAGCCTCACTTACTCTCTCTCTCTCTCCCCCCTCTTTAAATGTTCTTCCTCTTTTTTGTTTAGCCCAAAACAATAATAAATCGTAAGGGGGGTGTGTGTGTGTATCTGTTTGGGAGTTGAAATGTGACGTTGACAATGTATACCACCAACTCCCCAACCCCGACAAAAACGTTATTGAGGGGGTCCCATTGTTGTTGGCTTTGTGTAAAATGTATACGTGCGTTTCTCAAGATACTGAAAGCCATGAATGGGGCAACCAACGAACGAACGAACGACGACCGAGCGACCTGACGAACGATGGGCGATGAGCAAGTCAATGGAAGTGAAACAACAACGCATTAATTGCAGGTTTGTTTTCTTCGTCGTAGCTTCGTGTCGGTTTGTTATTATTTGGTCGTTACTTCGCTGCTGAGTTTCAATGGACGGATGGACACGAACCGCTGTTGAGGAGAGCAAGAAGTTGCTTTTGCGATTGTAGACTGTAAGGTCTGTGATTTTGCCAATCAAGAAACAATGAAATGTTGATAATTCTCTTTAGAAGAACTAAACTGAGTTTATGTCATAAAGACTAACCAACCCCGTACACAATAAAAAAAAAAAAACGAGGGGAATCTTTGTTTACATTCCGATGTTGGGAAAATTCACCAGAATATTCCCAATATGGTCTGTTTTCTACCTTTTAAGGATCTGTAATACCAAGATTGAAAAAGTGTTCTGGTTATTTATAATATCAATAACTGGGCAGTAGCGACAAATTGTTGCTATTCAAACCCTCAGAAAATCTGAACATACTATATTCAAAATATTTTGTCAGGAGGTATTCAAAAAAATTAAATATGTTAGGAATGTTTGGGTATTTTTCCTTCAGGAATTGTCCAGCAACTTCTTTCTGAGAGAGTAAAGTAGTTTTATTCTCTTTTGCAAGAAAACTGGGAAAAGTAAACATACGGAATCCCTGCAAAAACAAGCAAGCAAGCAGTCATCTGATTTATCAAATCAAAGCATTTGTTCGCAAACAAAAATAAATTAAGAACACAAATTAAAAATGAATCGAAAAACAAAATAATGTTGCATTTTTTTTTTCAAAATAAATATTTATACAATTTCTTGACCAAATATACATCACCGGAAGGTGGAAAAGAAGAGTTGCAAGAAGAGATTTGTCCAGTACGAATATTTAAACTCTCACTGAAAGAACTGTCAAAATTGTTCTCTCTAATCGCTCTCTTTTGCAGATCTTTTGTGTAACAGACGACTTCCAGTAAGATTTTGCAACAATTGTTACAAATTTTAGGGTAACCAGACACACCTGTTAAAATATCAAATTCGGTCATTTCAGCAGGAAAAAAGTATCACAAGGACCCTCAGAACAAACAGAATAGAGTGGCACCGTTAATTGGGGTTTATGTCAGAACAAAGACTTGCTAGATCGTGGTAAATTTTCACCATTCTTTTCATCATTACACAAAATTGTGTGGCAAATTTCAATGTTCCTAACGAAATAAAGGAAAGGAACGCATATGTGCTATACCAGGTCTCAACCTGTTTTATCAAGATGTTGCAAACGGATACCCAGGGTATAACCGGTATTTTGTTGCTATTCAAACTCTGGCGTACTGAAATTATCATGGAGAGATCGAAATGTTGCCTGTTCGATGTTGCAGAGAATTATTTGCGCTGATATCGGACAAAAGTCTCTTGACCATATGAATAGCAAAATGGCACTTTCATTGCCACATTTCAAAGTTGCCCTTGACATGACAATTAATAAATGGAATTCTCTGGAACATTTTCATTCCTTCCTGGCTTAAAAGTGGTCTTTTGACTTTGAGCATCCTCTCCTACATATGGGGTCGAATTGTTAGACTCGATTTCAGTTTGGTATTCTTTCATAAAATCCAAAGTAAAAATATGATAATGTTTATAAAATTGTACGCATCTCGTGTAGCCCCTAGCTATTTTTATTTGTATTTATATATGTACATTGTGGTTATATGTAGCGTGTCTATACATGTGTATGCATGCAAATTAGCTGCTGTTTTCAATATTGTGTGCGTAAATATTGCGCATTATTGCAGATTGATATTAAATGCGCAAAAATCGCGTCAAAACAATGGATTGACCTTTTTTTTGTGGAAATGCACTTGTCGAGTTTCATGTTCGAGCAAAGCTACAGCAACAAAGTAACACGCTCATAAAACAATGACAACGATTAGGCAGAGCGGCAAACCTGACGATCGTTTTGAAATGTAAATAGACTGCGAAAACTCGGCCGCTTTTTTTTATCTTTTTTAATTTTTGAACAAGTTTTCTGGTGAAATTTGAACGAATCTAATTAGTACCTACCTACATACAAACAATCGACTTAATTGTTGTATAAGATCTGAATATTGGATCTAAAAACCGCAATGAATAACCTTTGTATTCGAGATCTTATTGCAACGATTCATATTTCAATTTTTTTGCAG